CAGCCCTGCGCTCCGCCGCGAACTTTCGGAACCAGCCAAACAGGAGGGCAGCGAAATCAAGGAACTCATCTCGGTATCCAGACACAAACTCCATGTCTTCAGGGCCACAGGGTCTGGGCCCAGACTGAGCAGAGGGAGAGGGTAGGGGTGGGTCACAAAATGGGGGCGTGGTTGAGGGTCCCGAGAGAAGTTTTCAGGGCTCAGGGTGGGAGTTCAGGGGGAGAACGGGGCTAGGCTTGGAAGCGGGCGAGCAGGGGTTAAGACGAGTAGTCAGGAGTGAGATGGTATTTGGGGCCCAAGATCTGAGGCCCAGCCCCTCCAGAGTAGGGTCTGAACGATGACCAGAGTCGGAGGGCGAATCCTTTGGTGACGGACCCGCCAGGAGGGATTATTTTGGATCCGTCTGTAGGGTGTGGGGGGAGGGACCGGAGCCGGGGCATCCCCTCGGCTTGGATCGGTTCGGCCGGGGGCCCCCGCGGACCCAGCCCCTCCCGGCCGCCCCTCCACTCCGGTACCTGCAGCCGCCGCCGCCACTTTTCGAAGGTAAATACCTCGGGGCTGGCGGGGGGCGGGCATGACGTCAGGGCGGCCCGAGCCCGCGGCCCGCTGCCCGGCTGGCCCCGCCCCCAGCGCCCGAGGCGCGCGCGGAGAGGGCCGGGCGGGGTCCGCCGCCGCTCGCGGACTTCCCCGGGGGCATCACCTGGCATGTGACCGCGGCCCGGCGCCGGCGCCCAGCGGGGAAGCGAAAGCGCCGCGGGGGTGGCGGGAGCCGAGCGGCCGCGACTCCGAGGGCCGCGGCCTGACCTGGCGCGGCCGGGCGGGCACCCCGGATACGCGCCGAGCCCGTCGCTCGGCCGCCCGCGCCGCGCGCCCCGCCGAGCCGCTGCGTTAGCCCTTCGCTTTGCGTGCACCTCCCCGGCTCTCCCTGTCGGCTCGGGGGCCCGGGGCCAGCTCCCGGCGCGGGGCGCGGGGGCGCGGAGCCCCGCCTCTCTGGGCTTTCCCCGCGGCGGCGGGCGGCGGGCGCGCGCGGTCCGGGAGTACCGACCGCGCTGTCGGTTCGGACGGTGCGAGCGCGGGAAGAGGGCGCCGCCAGCTCGCGCCGCACCCCCCAGCCCGGCGCCCCGGCCGCGGCTGCCGGCGTCCCCGCGGGCTCGGGACCAAGCCGCCGGCCGCCGCGCTCCGGTCCCGCCCGGCCGCGGAGATGAGCCGGAGCCCGGGCGCCGGGTTCCTCGCGCTCCTCGTCCTGCTGGCGCTGCTGCCTCCGCCAGGTTGGTCCGGGGCCGCGCCCCTGAGTCCGCGCACGGGGTGCGGGCGGCGGGTTGGGGGGAAGCGGGAAGGGGGCGCCGAGGGCCGAGGGGGGGTGTTGGGTAAGTGGCGAGCCGGGCCGGGGCAGGGGACAGGCTGGGGGACGTCCGGGTCCAGGCCGTGCTCAGGACGTGTTTTGGGGGTGGGATGTGTGGGTTGGGCCCGGGGGTCAGACTCGGGATCGAAGGAAGAGGCTTAGTAACAGGGAGGGGAGCCCCTTGAGCGGGGAACCTGCGCTGACCACCTGGGTCGTCCCCCCCCCCCCCCCCCCCCCCGGCCATGGCAACGAGGGCAGCGTCATCGGCAGTTGTTACTGCCACAGGAGGATTCCTTCCCACTCCCCTCCGAAGGGGGAGGTCTTGGCACATTTCCGAAAGCACCTGAGAGCCTATGATCGCTGTAATTCCTACATCAGGTAATCTCCCGGAGCGCTGGGAGCGCAGCGCCTCTGGGGGCCTCCGGGAACCTCTCAGTCGACCTGGAACTCCTGGGGGGCCCGACCCCCTCCCAGGATTCCATTCGCCCAGCAATTCTCCATGCTTTGCTTTCCCTTTCCCACCTGCCTGGGAATTTCCCAGGCGGGGCAGAAAGCCCCCCCACCCCCACCCACGCTCTTGGCAGTGACTTAACATCTTTGGAATGAGGAAAGAGCTGAGGTGACCACGCTTTTCCTTCCTAGGTTCCAGCTACATTCCCGCAGCGTGTGTGGGGGGAGCAAAGATGCTTGGGTTCAAGAACTGGTGAGCTGGTTTGATCGCAAAGGTACAGGCTTCCCCCTCCTCCCTGGGGTCTGTCTCCAGGGAAGCGGTCTCCCTCACAGTCGGCTTTGACTGGGTCCCCTCCCCATGCCACCTCGAGTTCCTGTTGTACCTGGTGCCAGGTGATGTCCCCTCAACCCCTGTTCACCCAGTGTCACCCACCATCGCTGTCGTGATTTGTGCCACTCCCTGCTGTGCTCTTACTTAATATTTTTCTGGAAGCCAAGGCACTACTTTTGCTTTCCAGTATTCTACTATGGAAATTTAAAGATTTACACAACAGTTGAAAGACTTGTCCAGGGGACACCTATAGGACCACCGCTTAGAGTCTACGTTTCTAGCTACGATTCTAGCTTTTATGTATTTTTGTCTTATGTCTTTTATATAGTAGGTACAAAATACAGCAGAGACAAATTCCTATTTTACAATGTCAAGTTTATAGCACGTAACCACATTTGCTTTAGTGCGCGCCCATCTATCTCATTCGTCGTCAATCCACCTTCTCATTTTTACAAGATTTTATTTGAGGGAGAAAAGAGTGCATGAGCAGGGGGGAGGGGGGAGGGAGGAGGGAGGAGGGAGGAGCAGACTCCCCACTGAGCAGGGAGCCCTGTTGCCATCCCAGGACCCTGGGGATCATGACCTGAGCTGAAGGCACACGCTCAACTGACTGAGCCCCCCAGGTGCCCCTTATCTTTTGATGTGTTTCCTGGTTAGGTGCAGGCATGACCACACTTTACCCCCAAACATCTCAGCTTGTGTGTCATGGAGCTCAATACTTGATTGTTGCTGCTTCTCTTTTGAGGTTAAATTTACATACAATAAGAGGAATAAATTCTTAGGTGTGCCACTTTTGAGATGCACACTTAGGTGTGCCACACATGCCACTTTTGAGATGCGCCTGCTGTATTTTTCTCGTAAAATTAAATACACAAAATGTCCTAACACTTGCAGAGACGTAGTCTTGCGTCTCCTCCATGGCGCACAGACCGGTCTGTGGGCTAGAGACCTGCACGCAGGCTTTCCCTTCATCCTCCTGGCCACTGTGGCCCTTGGTAGGAGAATTCTCCCTGCGCTATAGCTGAAAGAAAGGCGTCCCAGGGAGGTCAAGAGACAAGGGACAAGGTCACCCGGAGACTCTGTAGCAGAGTCAGGGTTCCAGCCCAGGTCTCCCCCATGTCCCAGTGCGGATGCTTGTCCCAGTGCTTCCTTGTTGCTGGTCTGTTCACTTCCTTCTCCACCCTCCCCCCCCTGCCATCCGCCTCTGCCTTCCTCTCCCGCCTTCAGCTGTGACCTTGATGTTCTGACTCCTTACTTCTTGCCTTTCCAGAATATGGATATGCTAACTCCGGGAGTGCGGCCCCCCAGGAGCTCTTACCTCCTCCCAGCACCCAGGTTCCTGAGCCCACGCAAAGGGCACCTTTAGACACGGGCTCCCCTGCTCCGACACACCTGCCACCCACCTTGCAGTCCACCGCGCAGCCCACGCTGCCAGCAGGGGCCCAGTCCTTGGACAGAAACCTCACCCGCGCCGATGACATCACTACATCCACTGAGGGCCACGGTCAGGGGCCTGAGGAGAGGCAGAAGCAGCTGGAAGAAAGAGTAGGGCCTTCCGAGAGAACCTCAGCCATGGTGCCAGTGGTGTCCCTCCTGACCATCATCTTCGTTCTCACTGTGGTCCTCCTGTATGTGCTGTGCAGGAGGAGGAGGGAGCAGTCACTGCAGCACTTTCCAGGTAAGCTGGGCCTCCGGGGCCCCTCTCCCCAGTAGCTCTTAGGTGGCCGGAAACCGGAAACCTGCCCCAGGCAGACAGATATGCATCTGTCTGCACTGTGGACGGTAGGCCGTGAGAAAAGAGTCAGCTAGAGACAGTTACAAAAGAGGGAGGGAGGAAGGAAAGCCATCACAGGCCCAGGGAACCATACTTGACCTATACTTCAGAGCCAGGCAGGGCTTGGAGCAATATAAGATGGCAGCTAGGGGCGCCCTAGGTGGCTCCTTAAGTGTCTGCCCTCTGCTCAGGTTATGATCTTATGATGGTGGGATGGAGGCCCGCATAGGGTTCCCTACTCAGTGGGAAGCCCGCTTCTCCCTCTCCCACCTCCCCCTGCTTGGGTTTCTGCTCTTGAGAGCCCGATGCGGGGCCCAATCCCAGGACCCCGGGATCATGACCTGAGCCAAAGGCAGAGGCTTTAACCCACTGAGCCACCCAGGCGCCCTAAATAAAATCTTTTAAAAAGAAGATGGCAGCTAGAGCAGGCTAAGGAGAGAGGAACCCATGTAGGAAGGTGGGAGCCATTCATTTAGTTCACACGTCTCTCCTGAGCACCTGCCCTGTACTAGGTTGTATTATTGAGCTTTGGGGATCGAATCCCCCAGCCCAAGCTAGTCCCCCAACTTCCCTTAATTTTAAAGCTGATATTTTCATCCCCTTCTCTTTTCCAGATTTGCCGCTGTATTATACACCCGTGGCATCAGACTCCAGTGCTTGAGTGGAGAGCGGAAACCTGAGAGGGTAGATGTCGTCCTTTATGCAGCCCCGCACACCTTTAATTAATATATCAGGATAATCTCTAGCACATGCTAGGCACTCCACGGCCACTTGATGTTTAATATACAAGTGTCCGGCCACTGCCCTCTTGTCAGCTCTCCCTGGATTTCTTTTCCATGCTGTAACGTAAAATCTACAACTCACTCTGATACCCTAGACAAATTATGTGCTTAATTACTAAAGATTATTTTTATAATTATTGACTCTTCTGTTCTGCAGACACTGGCCTCAGGCTCCTACCCCCTTCCCAAGGTTCCTGGCTCCAGCGCCTCCCCTCAGGGTCCCACCGCCCCCTTGATTTTATTTCCTCAATCCCGGTATCACCCACGTATGCTCCAGTGAGAGTCCGAGCTCCCTGCTTCCGTTGCTGTTTCTTTTTGGTTTTTTTTTTTTAATTAAAACCCCTGGTTCTGCTTTTGTCTCTTTCCATGAAGAAGGATGTGCCTTCGCTGGTCCAGTCTACAGAAGCCTGGGGTAGGGCACGGGGTGTTGGAGGAAGTGTGCTGGCGGTCTGATCTCTGTCTGAGCTTGTCAGCACTTCCTGGCGCACCTGCAGGAGCACCTGTGGGAGGAGTCCGGCCACCTGATCTTCAAGTGTCACCATCCCCACCTTCTGCCCCCTACACCCTGCCCGGCCGGGCCCAAAGTGGCAGCCCTGATGTCCCACGCCACAGGTCTCTTTGTCCCGGGTGCTGGTGGTGGCCTTCTTCCAAGTTCTCGCTCTAGCTTGTGGGACTAGTTTTCCAGCATCTGCTCACAGGTTCGGGCCACATCGCTGAGCTTGAGACGGGCATAGTCCACTCGCTTCAGGGCCATCTGGCAGTCCTTCCTCGAAGAGTAGCTGGAGCCCTCATGGGGCTGCCCGGTGGCCACCTACAGGACAGTCAGATGGCTCAGTGACACACCCCTCCCCTGAGCCAGCTCCCCAACCCAGCGAGCATCTGGTCTCTTGCTCCTGTCCTTCCTGAGCCAGACGCCGCTGCAGCCCGGTCACCCGGGGTAAATCACCGAACGTGTTAACCTCGTGTAAGATGTGGGTAACCCCAATGATTTCCTAGCCTTGTTGCAAGATTAGATAAAGCGGCGTCTGGCACAGCGAGAACCGGCTCACCCCTGCCCCTCCTCTCAGGGCGCCGCCCCTGGAGACCCCGAGGTCAGGTCAGGTTTCTGGGCGCACGGCCCTGGCTTTGGCACCGACCACCAGTCCCTCCCCAGGGCCTCTCCGCCCGGCGGCTCGCGGGCCAGCGAGGCAGCCAAGGCCGCCTTCGGCGTCTTCCTTCCCGAGGGGGAAACCCACCCCGAAGCGAGGGTTCGGCGGAGGTCACCGGCTCCCTGGAGGCCGGGTGGCCGCGGCTCCAGAGGCCTTAGCTCCGCCGCGAGGACCCCGCAGGGTGAGGCGGAGGCGCAGGGCGAGGCCGGCCGCACGCACCTGGGTGAGGTAGCGGATTTGCCCCGACAGCTCGGCCTCCACGTGCTGCACCGACGCCGTGAAGGCCGCCGCCTGCCGGTCCAGCAGCCGCTCGTTGGTCTTCTCCTTGGACAGCTCCAGGATCACGGTACCTGCGGGGGCCGACAGAGGGCCGGGGCTGGCGGGGCAGGCCAAGGCTGCCCAGCGCGGAGCCCGTCCCCCCGCCGGCCCCCGGGGTCCCTCCCCTCCCCGCTGCGAGCGCGGGGGCCGGCCGTCGTGTCCCGAACCTGCATTCTGAAGAATGGCGCCGATCTCCCGTTCGATGTCCTCCAGCGCGCGGAGCCTCTCGTTGGCCAGGCTGTAGGTCGCCATCGCCAACCCCGGCCGCCCCCTCCTCAGGGTTTTTCTCCCTCGGCAAAACTCTGCGCCTGAACCCGGAAGCGGCTGTCGGTTTGCGCCTGTGCGGGTCGTGCTCGGGGCTGCGACTACAATTCCCAGGCTGCTCGGCGCCGCCCGGCCTGGCGAACTACAACTCCCAGGGTATCGTGCGCACACCCTGATCTGCGCCGCCGCCGCCACCTGGCGGCCACCTGTGGTAAGAGGAGGCAGCGGGGCGTTGGCTTCCCGGTACGAGGCTGTTCCGTCCTGCGCGCCTCCGCGACGCTCCTGGGGTCTCCGTTGCGCGGCTGCTGGTGCTGGGTGAAGATGCTGGGAGCCCCGGGGTGCTGGGGCACCCCCCGTAGGGGCCTGGGGGACAGGCTGACTCGATGAGACGTGCGTGGCTCCTCCGGGGCGGGATGCCCGCGGACACCGGGCTTGGCAGCCTGTCCCCAGGGGCGGGCTCCGCTCAGCCTCTCCCTCCCGTTCTGGTCGCCGGTTTTGCGCGGCGTCTGGGGATGCGTCCTGAGCGGGATGGGTTCTCAGGTGACAGCGAGGTCGCCGTCGCTCGGAGGCGCGCGCGGTGCACCTGCGGGGACACGGGATTCTGGGCGCGCGGTGCACCTGCCGGCGCCCGGACACGGGATTCCGGGCGGCGGCGCTGCGGGAGGCGGGGGCTTCGGCTTAACCGCGGGGACGGGAGACGCGAGCCAGAGCCCGACCACGAAAAGGCTTGCAAACTAAGTGGTTTGGACCTCGTCCTGAAAGCCCTTGGGAGCCCTGGAAGGATCCTCCAGACGCGTGCTCTGGCCGGGTTTCCTTCTGGAGAGGTCGGTCCGGACAGCTCTGGACACGGGGAACGAGGCTAGTCGGCACGGGGCTAGCCAACGGATGGAGACGGTCGGTTCAGCGTGAGGGACCTAGCATGTGACTCTGCTGCTTTTAAAAGTCCTAATACAAGAACAACAAGGGGGGGGTGTCTTATTTGGGGGTCAAAGAGAGAGAGAGAGGCAGAGGAATTAATAGCAAAAATTTAGATAGAAGCATCAAGACAGAAGGGTACGTGGTGACTGATTTAGTAATGAGGTGGAGATGAAGCCAGTAGTGGAGAAAGCGTAAAAGCAACTTAATTTACTCTTAAATTTACCCCCGCCCATCCATCCTGTTACTGGAGGTTTCTTTGTTGAAGGCGGGAAACAGAGGGTCTTTGCGTGAAAGGCCCACCCGAGGCATGGTTGTATTGGAAACAGAGAGTGGGGCGCCTGGGTGGCTCCATCGTTAAGCGTCTGACTCCGGCTCAGGTCATGATCCCAGGGTCCTGGAGCCCTACATCCCGCTCCCTGCTCAGTGGGGAGGTGCTTCCCCCTCTCCCACTCCCCCTGCTTGTGTTCCCTCTCTCACTGTGTCTCTCTCTGTCAAATAAATAAATAAAATCTTTTAAAAAAAGAAAACAGAGATTAGGGGCACCTGGCTGGCTCAGTCAGAAAGGTGTGAGACTTGATCTCTGCGTAGTGAGTTTGAGTCCCGTGTTATTTAAATGAATAAATAAAATTTTAAAAAACTAAAAAAAAAAGAGCTAAAAGAAAATAGGGATTAAGTGAAAGTTTATTTCCTGAGTTGTTCCAATCTGGAATTCTCTTTTCCGGGCGTGCTAGGATGCGGGCTGAAAATGCAACGATTCAGCAACATGATTTTTCCCCCCGTAAAACAGCCCAGCACGGGTAGTTCAGCATGCTCCACAGGTCATCTGGAGAGTTAGGGATGAACTCAGAGAGTAAACAGATTCTTTAAATGACAGTGACTCAGGGAAGATAACCCGGTGCTGGACAAGATAGGTCATCGAGAGACGGCACGAGGACGCTGGATGATGTACGCGTAGGCACGAAGGTGTGAATGTTGGTTATTGATCTAGCCTCCCCCATACTATTCTCTCAGGAGTATGGGGCCCGCGGCGGTCTCGCACTGCTGGGGAGAGACGCAGAAGGGGGCTCAGTCTTCACGTCGTTTGGTGGGACACCAGTGATGCTTAAGACGAAAGTCAGGAAGCAGTGAAGTGAGCGCGCTGCTTGGAGGTCAACACCAGGAGAAACATCCGAGGGACGTAAAAGCAGCTACCTCTGAGAAGGGAGCTGGCGAGCCATGGGGTATAAGCCTTGTGCTTCTATCTGACTCCTTACGCTCTGCGGGTCCATGACTTTGAAAATAACAACGCGGGGTGCCTGGGTGGCTCAGTGGGTTGAGCGTCTGCCTTCGGCTCAGGTCGTGATCCCAAAAGTCCTGGGATCAAGCCCTGCGTCCGCTCCGTGGGAACCCTGCTTCTCCCTCTCCCACTCTCCTTGCTTGTGTTCCCTCTCTCTGTCAGATAAATAAATGAATAATCTTTAAAAAAAAAAAGAAAAGAAAAGAATGCACGAAAAGTGAAATGGTAGTGAGGAAACGAGTAGAGACTGACTTTATGTGGAAGAGACCGGAGTGTGGAGGAGGGTCTTCTCTGGCTTCCGTCCCTCCTTGAGCAGAAGAGACTTGCGTGGGTGTATGACATACGGCGGACGGAGAACCAGCAGAGAGAGAGGCAGAGGTTGAAGAGAGGGGGTGGCGGGATGACTTGGGGAGTCAGAGGAGGTGGGAAGGGAGCAACCTGGGCACCGGTGGAAGGACGAGCTCCGAACAGGAGGCAGCGGCTTGACCTTGGTTGCATAGGGAATCGGTCCCTGTTGGTGTTTGTGGGTAGAGGTGGGAAGTTGAAGTCATCCGTCCCTGGCGGCCTCATCTCTGTGAAAATCAGAAGTCACTATGGGCATGGGGGAGGGTTTGCAAGGTGGCGAGGGAGGTGGCCAGGAAGACGGAGAGGGACAAAGGCTCATTGGGAACTGAGGGCCCAGCTGAGGTTAGAGACCATAGGTTGGCATTAGCCCTGGGTGTGTACCCAGTGCCCAGTGTTGGCACCTACGATGTGTTAAAAATGACTTGCTGAGGGGCGCCTGGGTGGCTCAGTAAGTTAGGTGTCTACCTAACCCAGGTTAGGGTCCTGGGATGGAGCCCCGCATCGGGCTCCCTGCTCAGTGGGGCTTCTGCTTCCCCCTCTGCCTCTTCCCCTACTCACACTCCCACTCTCCCTCTCTCTCAAATAAATAAATAAATAAAATTTTAAAAAAGAAAAAGAATTTGTCCTGCAGATCCAGTTTGTGTGTGCCCAAAAGACCTGTTTTCGGGGGTGATGACTGCACTGGTGTTTGCTTAGCCGAAGAGTGGACCTCCTTCACGGCCCTCGGCAGGAGACGGGTAGAAATAAAGGCCACCCAGGGAGTGGAAAGTCATGGGGTGACTGAAAGAATAAGGAAGATCCGTAGGCGTTGCTGCAGAAGGGAAGGCACCACTATAGGGAAAAGAGCGGTAGAGACAGGAGGGCACATTGTGCTACTGTCTGTCCAGAATAAGGGAGAAATGCATCTGGGCAGGTGTGACTGGATGAGAACAGCATCTTTGGTTTATTTGAACACTATCTCGGGACGAGTGGTCACAGGACTGGGGACAGTGGTCGCCCCTGGGAATGACAAATGGGAGACCGGGGACCAGGGGCAGGAGGGAGCCTTCTTTCCACTGTTGATCATACATGGTTTGGATTTTTTTTTTCTCTATACCACGTGCATGTTTTGCTTTCTTAAAAACATTAACAAAAAGCTAAAAAAAAAAAAAAAAGACATCGGCTCTCAAATCATGTGCTCATTCAAGATTTAGATGCGTGGATTCTTCCTGGGACCTGCGGGATCAGGACCCGGGAAGGTAGAACCTGGGATGGTGCGTCTTTATCGCGCCTCCCCACTTCCCCGGGGTTGGGGCGTGGGGGGGGGGGTCCTGATTCACCTGAAAGCCTGCTGAGCTCTGGGCCGAGAGCTCGGCAGTCAGAGTGGGCTCATGGGAATCAGAGGGATGCTGGCGCTTCCTCTGTGTGGTGGGGGCCGGGCTGTGCGGGATGGGCTGTACTGGGGGGTGGGGGGCGTCCAAGGTCACTGGCATTTTGGCAGCACTTCAGTCCTTGGGTAAACGGCGGTCTAATTAGATGTCAGGCTCCACAGACTGAAGGCCCGTGGGAGCAGCCCCCGGGCGCCATCTGGAACCACTTGGCCTTGCTGTCTCTGCCCCATTCCCACCTTCTCACATGGTGCTGCCATCGCCCAGAAGGTAGAAGGTTCCAGTCCATTCCTCATTTGCCAGTTCTCTGCTCAAAGTTCCTCCCTCCGGAGAGATCTTTCCCAAACCCCAGGCTAGGTCAGCAGTCCCCGAGGTCAGCACTTCTCCCCCTGGACTTCTCCTTTGGAGCATGGATACCATCACGAGGTCACCAGGGAGTGACTTAATGGTGGCTTTGGTCACTGTGATGTCCTCCATGATGCCTGGCACAGAATGGGCACCCCAGGCACGGGCTGCTCATGGAGTGAATGATGAGCCTTATGAGACACAGGAGACACAGGCTGGGTGACAGGAGTGGGAGTGGGTGCAGGGGGGTGGGCCGTGTCTGTGGAGGGTTGCTCCTGCCCTGCAGCCCGGCGTCCAGGAGTGCCTGACGCACACCTGAGAAGCCACAGGGGGAAGTCACAGGCGAGACTCCCTGCGGCCCCACGGAATGTCATGCGGCTTCTGTCCGGGGAGGCCCGTGGCCGTGCTCCCACCGAGCCCCAGGACTAGGTGGCTGGAGCCGAGCGCCCAGCACACGTGACTGACTGGGTGGTGACGTGTGCCAGCGGCGAGGGGGAAGAGCCCAGCTCTGCCCGGCTCTGGAGGCCCCCAGCCTACGGGGAAGTGAGCGGCTGTTTCCCCTGTGAATGCAACAGCTGACACTGTGGGTTCTGGGCTGAGCAATCGCATTTCAGTGCCTCCGTGGAGCGCAGGACAGCCCAGCGCTCCAACACCGACTGATGGCCTCGGGCCCTGCGAGGAGGCTGGCTGGGTGCTCAGCCCGCCGCAGCCGGTCCATGATGGCTCCGGTCTGCTCCTCCCATCCCCCACGGAAGACATAGATGCTCTTGCCTATGAAAAGGTTTAATTTCTTCTTTATGCTCAGAAACAAAGAAGTGGCCTTGCTCCCCCAAGAGGGTCTCCTCTCCCTGGAAAGGGAAGCTGTTGCTGTGATGTGAGGTTGAACGCGGGGTTCCTTCTCCCCACTTCCCCGCTGTCTTTCCAGCACCCTCCGCAGAATTTAGTCTGAACACAGCTTGCCGCCCACGGGGGTGGGGGGTGGAGGGGCGCAGCTGGAGTCCAAAACGTCAGGCCCACGTTCCACGAGAGACAGGTCCAGTGTGTGTCTGGGGGCGGCCAGCGCGGGAGGGAGGGAGGGAGGGGAGGCGTGGGGTTGGGGGAGCTGCTGGGCGGAGGGGGGAGGGCGGAGAGGCTGCCCCCCCCCCCACCGCCCGGCACCCACCCCTCTCCTAGCAGAGCTGGTCCTCATAATCCTCCTCCTTCATCCCTTTTAGCCGGAGCCGGGCGAAATCCTCGAACACGATGTCGTCGTCCGTGGCGTAACTTGACAGTGGAGGGGAGTGGGGGGGGCAGTGAGGGCTCCAGGCCCTCTGCTCGGCCCCCTGCTCCCCTCCCAGACACAGGGGCGTCCGAGCGACAGGGCTGGACCCGTGGGCAAGGAGGCTATGCCGTCTGGATTGGGTGCTTCGGCCCTCCCTCCCCCAGGAGGTGAAAAGCAGGGGTGAGGGCACCCTGGGGGTCTGCAGGGCTCTCTGGCCACAGAGGTCAGAGGTCAAAGGTGGGGGCGGAGTCTCTTACTTGGTATCAAATTCAATGAGGTTGGTGTCCACAGGTACACCTGTGTCCGGAGCAGCTGCGGGAGGAGAGGGGCGTGTGGGCAGGCGCCAAGGGGACCAGCAGGTCTCCCCTGGCCTTGCCTCCGGCTGCCTTGCGGGAGTGGGGGGCTCGGGGTGCGCTCACCTGTCTGGGGCCTGGGGAGGGTGATGTGGTCGTGGGGCTTGGGGTGCATGAGGACGAAAGGCAGCTCCACAGAGACGTCCCTGCGGGGGAGACGGGGGAGGCGGCATGAGAGGCCCATGCGGCCACACCGGGAGGAGACCCCCGCGCCCCCCACGTTCCCCGTGCACTCACCCGCCACGAGACACCACCAGCTTCACCTTGACCCTGTAGGACACCAGGATGCCCAGCACCTCCTTGTTGGCGCCCTCCTTCACGCTGCAACGAGGGGGATGAGCTCGGCCACAGCCCAGCCCTGCGGCTCCCCCAAAGTTTGGGTGGGACCCCGTCCCGGCCGTGGCCTCCAGCAGCGTGGGCTGCGCTGTTCTCACGCCAAGCACCCTGCGGCACCCCTCGGCACCGAACCCGCTTGCAGCTTCAAGTGTCCTTGTGACCTGTCCTTGTGACCCGGCACCGTCTAGCTCTCTGCCACCCCGACCGCATCCCCCCCCCACCCCCGCTCATTCTGGCCTCTGGCTCGCCATGCGTGTTCACGCAGTGCTCCCCTCGCACCTGGGCGCCCTGGGGGAGGCCCGGCCCTGACTCAGTGACGGTGTGGCCATCGCCCAGAGGTGTGGCGGCTCCACACTCCCTCGCGTGTCCTTGCAGAGACCGGGCCTGGGCCGCCTCTGCCTGGGACGCTCCTTGTGTGGCCAGTCACCCACTTACTCTGGGTCCCTCCTCAGAACTCACGCCCGGGGGTGGGGGGTAGCCTCTTTAAACGGCACACTTGCGCCCACCCCCGATGTGTCCCTCCCTCCTCTGCCTTGCTCCTTCCCCACGCTCGTCACTAGACGCGCAGTACGTTTTGCCGTTGATCTGTCCTCCCCCTCTGGATTCTCTGGTCCCTTCTGGGCCCCGAGAGCACTGGGCGCCTGGGACAGCCTGAAGGAGCGTGTGAGCCTGGGCCATAGGAGTCCCCCACCCCGCTCACATGGTGCTGGAAGCCAGGTTGGTGTCCTCGTGCTTGAGCTTCCCATCCAGGGCCAGACCCCGCTTCTCCCGGTTGTCGCTGAGCAGCGGGGTGACAGTATACACCTTGCAGAACGTGGAACTGGGGGACACCTGGTCACTGGGGAGCGGGGACAGGAGACCGAGACTCTGGGGGGACGGGCTGGGCGAGGTGGTCGCTCCCCCCCCTGGCCCCCCCCCCCCACCAGCGCTGCCCTGTTTGGGCCCATGGGTAATGGGGGCTGGGTTAGAGCTCAGCCCGCTCCAGAAAGCGAGCTCAGAGCCACCTGCTGGGACAGACGGAAGGCCCTTGTAGGTGGGGAGGGTTCAGGGTGGGGACGGTCTCCCAGGGTTGTTCCTCTGCCCTAAGGTACGGCCCCGATGTGTTCTGTTACTCACTCTTGTTCGATCTGAGCCACAGGGCACTTGTACTGGGCAGTGCTGAAGAGGCAGATGTCGGCATACTGTCTCACTGCGGGGCGGGGTGAGGTCAGGCAGCCGTGCTGGGAGTGCAGGCTGCAGCCCCCCAGCCCCCCTGCCCCGGCCCCACGGGGCTGTGTCTCCTTCTGGGGCAGCCTCCTGCACTGGGGTGTGTCCCTGCGCAGAAATCACACCACGTGGGCAGCAACTCCCACCCCCAAGACCCCCTCCTATCCCCCACCTCCTACCAGAGACTTTGATCTTCTTGATGGTCTTGGTGGAGTTGTTGGTGACGTGGACGTTGACATTGAGGGGCTCCCCGTGGTAGTAGAGCTTTCGGGAAGAGGGGGTCAAGTTAATGCGATCTGTTTGCACTGGTCCCATTATCAGCGTTCCCCCTGCCCCCACACAGACCCATGGCTCGGTCTCCCTCTAAACCCACGCCCACACCCAGCTGTCCTGGCAGGTGGCTCCAGCCCTCCCCCCAGGGCCCTCTGCACTGGAGCCCCTGTGTCCCGCCCCCGCACCCCACCTCCTTGTCCAGGGAGGCCTCAAGGTGCAGGGACCGGTCGGACATGAGGAAGTGGCGTGTGGTTTCTGCTGAAGGCTGGGGGCCAGGTTTCTCTGGGGCAAACTGCACCTTTCGGATCACCAGACGCACAGAGTTCCTGGGGGTGGGGAAGAGGGGCGGGGGGGGGGCAGTCCTCAGACACCCGGACCCCCAGCGCCGCCTCCCTGAGGCTTGGGGCTCCAGGGTGTGCGGAGGGGATGCTCACAGCACGGGGTGGGGGGGGGCTTGCTTCCCTCACCTTTTGTGGCTTTTCTCTTCTAGTGATTTGGCACAGAAGGCTCGAATCTCAAAGTCTACCCCGCAGGCCTTGGGAGGAGAAAATGTCACATCTTACACAAGGCCCCTGACACCACCACACACTTCCTTCCCTCTCCCCTCGCCTCGGTCAGGGGTTCTTGCCCCATTGCCGTGTGTTGAGGAATGTAGGGCCTGGGGCTTCGTCCTCTGCCTCCCAAAGCCCCCAGCAACTAGCAGCGCCTGGGTCCTGTCCACAAGGCGAGGCCCTATACTCACCCGGGAGTGCCCAGAGTCACCTGGGAGCAGACAGACCACATTTCCACCGGGGACAAGTCCCACCCTGGCTTCTCCCTGACAGCCCCCCCTTTCGGTGGGTCCCAGGCTCCTCCTGGAGCCCGTTCTGTCCCCTGAGCCCTCGGACCCATTCCCCTTGTACCTTCCCCGTGTCCTCAGGGCCTGGCTGCAGAGTGACGGAGCAGGGAAGGTTCTGTGGGATCTGTGGGGAGGCAAGGGGAGGCTTCGGTTCTTCCAAATCTTTCTCCCAATCCCCACTAAGAGGTGTCCCGATGGGTGAGAAGGGGAAGAAGGGAGGGGCCCCAGGGAGGAGGCAGACACAAGAGTGACCATGAAGGCGGGGTGGGGGGCGGGGTGGGGGCTGTCCAGGGCCTCCTCCTCACTGCTGATTCCAGATGTGCCTGGAGCAGGGGCCTTACCTCCCCCCATCCCCCGACTCAGTCCCAACCCCCTTGCCCTGTAGAGGGTGGAGAGCGTCCTCACTGTGAAGAAGAAGGGGTGGGCATGCGGGCCCAGCTTCCTGAGCAGCCGGTCCTGCAGGCGGGTTGGGGGCCGCGGGGGGTTGGGCGCTGGTGGGAAGGCCTGGTAGTTGGCGATGAATAGGTCTTTGCGGAAGGACAAGCCCAGCACGTCCAGGTCCTCGCGGCCATAGCGGAAGGCGCAGGTGAGGGTCACAAACACTGCGAGGGAGGGTGGGGGGTGGTCAGGAGCCCACCTCCCACCCCCGGCCCCACCCTCATCCCCCGCAGCAACCAAACTTCCCTCTTCCCGCCCCACTGGGCCACCCCGATGTCCCCTAGCTGCCCCCTGCTCTCGGGCCAGTACCTTTGCGATCCTTCAAGTAGTCAGGGTCCACGAGCACCACGCCATCTGGGAAAGGGACACACGAGCTCACTTCCTGTCAGGGCCTCCCCTCCATCTCTGGGCCCAGGAGCCTTTCCCCGTCTTGGGGGCTCCGTGCTGCTTTCTGGGCACACTTACCTACAGGGTCCACTTTGTCCAGGTGGTCTACAAAGTCCCGCTTCCCCAAGTACACAGTGAGCTGCAGATACAGAAGGGGCGCAGGGAGGATGGGGCAGGAGGGTTTGGGGCACGCAAGCCTCAGAGCGCTTCTCCCGCCCCTGGTCTTTCCCAGGCTGGGGTTAGCCCCGGGGTTCCTCCCAACAGGGTCGGAAGGGGAGAGTAGTGGGGTTTCCCAGGTTACCCAACCTTGAAGCTTTTTGCACCTCTGTCCACAAGTCAGGCAAGTGTGTGTGTGGGGGGTGGGGTGGGGAGTGGGCTTGGAGAGGATTCAGGGGGGCCCCTCAGCCATTTAGAGAGCAGGGTGTGGTCTCACGGGCTCCTCTCTGGGGGCTCTGGGATACACAGGCCATAGCCTGGGGGCTGCTGACCATTCCTAGCCCAGGAACCCTGGGCCCGCTCCCAAGAGGGGTACAGCCTAGGGCTCCTGGCTCCTCCCCCTTCCTCTAACCTAGGGACCCGGACCTGTCCCCACCCAGGGACCTGTCCCCACCCAGCCCCGCCGCTGGCTGGGGTTGAGTGGCCTTTGCGGCAAGGGGCTTCGGGAGGGAAGGAAGTCAGCTCTTAGCTGTCACAGGAAGTGGGGAGCTAGGGGTTGGGGATGGGCAAAGGGCAGGTTGGGCCTTGCAGGGGCCCGGAGCGGGTTGGGAGCAGGAGCAGCATGGGGGACTCACCTTGCAGTTGGGGCTCGACTTCTTGAAGACCCTAGCAAAATAGAAAGGGAAACCCCGCTGCCTCACACTGGGCAGCGGGGACCTCCCCACCCTGGCCCGAGAAGCAGAGCTCACCCAGGACTCTGCCTGCAGGATCTGGGGCTCTGCCAGCTCTACCCCTCCCACCACAGGGCCTGAATATTCCCAACACAACCCCTGACCCCAGGTCCCCTCCTCCTGGGACAATGGCCCTTGGTTGCCACAGAACTACCCAGGCTCTTCCCAGAGCACTTGCCCCAGGGGGACCCGAATGGGCAGGCTATAGGAGCCTCTGTCTAGGACCGAACCCTGTCCCCGACTTCTCCGGTACTCCAAAGACAGCTGGAGTGCCCAGAAGGGCAACGGCCCTGGCTTTTGTGCCTAGAATGGTTTCTACTTTTAGGCACTACTTTAGTGTGACCCGATTCCATTAACCTCCAACCATTCCCCATCCCTGATCTCAGCAACCCCAAAGCCCGCCTCCGGAGGCCGAGCTCAGCTATCACTTCCTTTAGGAAGCAGATCGAGCCTGGACCCCGGTTACTCCTCTTGGGGGGGCGGTGTGAGAGCTTGCACAGGTCCCGAGCCACACATCACCTGCCCCAGCAGGCCGCCTGCAATGGTCGGAGGCCACACTCAGTTCGCACCCCCAGCACAAGGCCAGCCGATTGCTAGAACCGTGATGCCGGCTGACGTTGGTCAGGAGAACGCCCCTTCTTCTTCAAGGGCTTTGCGTGTGGGATCGCACTTAAGGCTTCTGGCGACCCCATGATGGAGGTCCCAGTGTTCCTAGTTTACAGGTGAGGGAACCGAGGCACGGGGGCCTGAAGGGTTTAGCCTAAGGCCCCACGGGGTGGAAACGGTGGGGCTCAGATGAACAGACTCCGTCTGGCTCCCAGCCCATGCTCTCCCTCACTAAACTGGTATTCTCCCGTCTCTGCAATCTCCACTAAGTGTTGAATTGCAAGGGATTTGCTCCCCCGAGCTGAAACGGTATAACCCCAGACTCTGCCCATTGCTGTGGGCGTAGTAGGTATCTGGTGACCCCCTGGGCTCCAGCCACTTGCGGGTCTGACTTTCCTCATCTCCATGCGCTGTCTCAACAGCAAGCCCTGGGAAGGGTCCTCGGCAAGTAGAAACGAAAGTCCCGCAGACTGGCCTGTCCTTCCTCCAGCAACACCCCCCGTCCCTGGTTTTGCTCTAACAACCTCACTTGCCACTTCTTCCCAGAAGGTTAGGCCGTCCAAAGGCCATAAGGCAAAGGGTATGGTGGCCCCTGGTGTCCCCATCCAATAAAGGAGAGTAAACACTGGTAGGGTGGCAGCTAGAACAAGCACCCACCCTAAGGACGGATAGCTAGGGCACCTTCCAGTCCCCCCGTCTTTGCTTCTAGTTTTCCTCTTTGTCCCAGGGCTTCCTCCTATTAGGATGAAAGCCACCAACGGTGGTTGTGGGGTAATGGCCTCCGAGTGTCCGCAGGGCCACCTGCCCTTGGGAGCCGAGGCTGGGGAGCAGCAGCACTTGTACACCGAGGCTGGCCAAGGAGGCAGACTGTGGGGGTGCCCAGAGGTGCCCATCGAGGGGGCCAGCGACAGCAGATGTTCTCTCCATTTCCTGTGGCCCAGAATTAGACGGGGGTGGCGGGGATTGTGCCAAGTCAGCAGTCCCCCTCTGGTCCATCCATCCTCCTCCCGGAACCACATAACGGAAATTGGGTGCCTCCCTCAAGTCAGCGACTTCCCCTTTCTTTGGGGGTGTTTGAGCCTTAATCCAGGGCACCAGTCCTCCCTGTGATCATCTCTCTGATACTACTAGATGGGGTGCTCAGAAGCCTGTGTTCTCGTCCTCTGCGGGCAGGGAGTGGTGGGGCTGAGATGATGATGTTTTTCAGCCAAGTGATGTCTGAGGACCTGGGCCCCATTCCTGGTCCCTCTTGGATAGAGGCATACGGCCCCAATCTGTTCCTCTTCTGCTCCTGCTCCCCAGGGACCTGGGCATTTACCCACTATCCCCTTGGGGGGGTGTTGGCCCACAACAGGAAGTGGATTTTGCTAGAGACCAAAAAAGAGAACTCGGGGTATCAGTGGAAGGAAGGAGACTCGACGATTGCACAGAAAACATCCGGGGAGTGGATGGCGTGCCCAGGGCAGATACTGCCTTCCCTCACCTCCGGGAATAAAAGTAAGGCCCTGAAGCGGGGAGGGTCGTCACGCACTCTACTCCCCCAAGATGAAGCTTTTGCTCCTAGCAACCTGGGGGAAGGCAGAAGTTTGGAAGCAGAGCCACCTGGCCCTTGGGACAGCCCGACTGCCTGCGGTTTACCTGACAGGAGGCTCTCCAGCAGCTCGGCACGGGCCTCCGAGTGTGTGGGGGGGGATCCCCTCCCGGCATCCGGACCTCCCATACCAACCCCTCGGGGCCGGCCACCTGCTCCTCCTTCCTCCGCCCCTGCATCGCTGCCTGCACCGGAGAACCCAGTCGTCCGGCCCCCACATCCCTGCAAGAACCCAGACGCCAGGCTCCTGATCGCCTTCAGCCCTCGCTTTCTGCATGCGTCCTCCTCATTATCCTCGAGGACCCAGGCGCGCGGCCCCAGATGGCTGCCCCCCCCAGGGACCCAGGAGTCCGGCACCCGGGTTCTCTCCCCGGTGTCCTTGTCCGGGGACCGTCCCGGCACCAGCCCCGAGCCGCCGCCCACGTCCCGCCGCGTGGCCCCACCTCCCTTACCTGGTGCCCGGTTTCTCCCCCATGGTGCGCGCGCCCGCCACCCGCCGCCCGCCGGTTCGCGGCTCGCTCGCAGCCTCCCAGCCTGCTGCCAGGTCCCCGCTCCTCCCCGCGCCACTGCGCACGCGCGCCCGCCGCTCTTTCTCCTCTCCCCCGCCCCTCCGGCCCCCCTGCACTCCTGGGGAACCGGGCCCAGCTGCGTCAGCCCGGACCGCGCGCGCCGCGGCGCCGCCCGCCCTCTGGGCGCAAACCGCGCGGTGATTGGCTCCGCCCCCGCGCCCGCCCCTCCGCGGCCCCGCCCCGCCGCTCCCGGGGCCGGGGATGGGGGGGCGGTGGGCTGGTCAATCCTGCGCGCGCGGTCCCCAGTCCCCTCTCGGCCCGCCCATCTCTCCGCCCCTCCGCGCCCCGGTAGGAACCGATTGGGCTCCCCGGCAAGGGGCGCCCGCCTGCCCGGATGGGAGAGGCCTGTGATTGGCTCCCTGCGCCCAGGGCGCCGCGGGGGTCCCCTCCCCTTTGTTTGCTTTCGCCGCCGCGGTGGAGGCGAGGGAGGCGGCGGGGGCGGCGGAGCGAGCTCCAGCACCGTCTGGGAGGAAGGATGAGGGGACGCGCACGTGGGTGAGCGCTTCCACTTGCGTGATGCTTTGCTTCAGGGCGCGCCGCGCTCCCCAGTGCTCGCAGCCTTCTTCGGCCCGCCCTCCCGCCGCTTTACTGCGCTGTGTCAGCTCCCTCTGGCGTCTGTCTTTCCTCTTCCACCGGGTTACTGTGCCTAGTGTCTCCGACTACCCATCCCTTCCTGTCGTCTCATCGCGGCCGTCATCTATCCCTCCATCCGTGCCTCCATCCGTCCATGCCTCCATCCGTCCATGCCTCCGTCCGTCCATGCCTCCGTCCGTCCATGCCTCCGTCCGTCCATGCCTCCATCCGTCTATGCCTCCATCCATCCATGCCTCCATCCGTCTATGCCTCCATCCGTCTATGCCTCTGTCCGTCCATGCCTCCATGCCTCCATCTGTCTATGCTTCCATCCGTCCTTGCCTCCATCCATCCATGCCTCCATCCGTCCATGCCTCCATGCTTCCATCCGTCCATGACTCCATCCATCCATACCTCCATCTGTCCATCCGTCCATGCCTCCATCCGTCCATGCCTCCATGCCTCCATCTGTCCATGCCTCCATGCCTATTTTGTGCCAGTCACTGTGCTGGGTGATGGGGACGCAGATATGAATTCACGTGGCCCCTGCTTTCCTAGCACAGTTCAGGAGACACATAAACAGGTATTAGGATCGCAAGAATACTATCATGGAGGTATGGCTCAGAAGACAAAGCGACTACCTGCGCTTGACTGGGGCAGAGGTGGTGGGGGAATGCTGTCCAGAGGAGGACACATTGGAGGGCAGTCTTTCTGAAGGGTGGGCAGAAGTTGAGAAAAGGTGTTGCAGAGATAGAGAAAGGCAAGGCACATCCTCTGCGGAAGGGTTTGTGGGGTTCCACCGCAGGAGAGATGAGGGGGAGGGGGAGGACTGGAACAGAGTGTGAAGGATTCCGCACAGCAGGTGAAGGAGTGTGGCGGAGGTCTACCCTGGAGGACACTTAGATCCAGTAGTGGCTTTTTTTAAGCAAAAGATTTGCAGGATGATTCCTCCTTCAGGAGGAGAATTCTGGGCAATGTGGAGGGTGGAGAGAGTGGGGCAAGGTTGTCTGGACTGAAACAAGTCAAGAGGAGAAGAGGGGCTAGGCAGAAGGGCCATTTCTAGGGCACAATGGAGGGGGCTGAGGCGGGGGAAGGGGGATGATGGGTCAGACCTTTCTGGACTTATTTCTCCTTCTTCCATGTCTTTTCTCATTGTCCCCCTCTTTCCCACCCAAATAACTTCACACGTATCCCTCCACTTTTCCATGCAACAAAAAAAGTAATATGCACAAGACAGTTTCTGAGATCCTCTTTAAGGTTCAAACAGAGGAAATAAGATGAAATCAGAGAGGGAGACAAACCGTAAGAGACTCTTAGCTCTACGGAACAAATCGAGGGTTGCCAGAGGGGCTGGGTGGCTGCGGTAACTGCGGATGGGCATTTAGGAGGGTGCATGATGGAATGAGCACTGGGTATTGTGTCCAACTGATGAGTCACTGAATTCTACACGGGAAACTAGTAATACACTGTCACTAACTGAATTTAAAGACACGAAGTTATTTGAAAAAAGGTTCCAACATAGGCCCTCAGTTCTGTCACCCCTTTCTAAGCTCGCCTTTCATCCCGTTCAGTCTTTAGATCATACATTTCTTTTAGACTTATGAATCACTTTTGTCAAAGGGTCAGGACCAGAACGTAATGAGATAAATATTGGTATATATCTAAAGTGATTGGGGGGACACCTGGGTGGCTCAGTTGGTTGAGCATCTGCCTTCAGCTCAGGTCCTGGTCTCAGGGTCCTGGGATTGAGCCCCGTGTCGCACTCCCTGCCCAGCGGGGATCCTGCTTCCCTTTCTCCCTCTGCTGCTCCCTGCTTGTGTTCTTTCGCTCTCTGACAAATAAGTAAATAAAATCTTTAAAAAAATAAGGTGATTTGGGGACTGAACTGTAGTGGTCTGTGTGGCACGAAAGCTACTGTATTAAAAGGTACTAATATAAGGACAATTTTAGAGAGATGTTAAAGAAGGGTAGAAAAAATGAAAGAGATGCACCATATACGGGTGGGAAAACCCATCATTATAAAGATGTCGTTTCTCTGCAGATTGTGTATAAATTTGACACCATATCAAAATAACAATGGGAGGCTGGTCCAAAGGTAGTGGCTTATCTCAAGTGATGGTTCACGGTTCCAACTCCTTGTTCTACTCTTGGCCCCCTCTCTTCACGGCTGCACCTGAGTAGTCTTTAAAAGTAAACGAATAGGGGATGCCTGGGTGGCTCAGGTCATGGTCTCAAGGTCCTGGGATTGAGCCCCGCATCCATCAGGCTCTCTGCTCAGCAGGGAGCCTGCTTCCTCCTCTCTCTCTGCCTGCCTCGTGATCTCTGCCTGTCAAATAAATAAATAAAATCTTTAAAAAAAAGTAAATGAATAACAATGGGCCTTTTTGGGGAGGAGAACTTGATTCTAAACAATCAGAAAAATCAACTCACAAGTTTAGCCAGGATAATTCTGAAAAATAAGAATAAAGCAGGCCTTTGTCTTACCTGATAATTTATTATGTTAACAATAATTAAAATTGTTATTGATGCAATGATACGAAACAGAGCAATGAAAGGGAACAGAGGACCCCGATACAGACTCACATGGTAGCATTTCAAGTCAATGGAGAAAGAACGGCATATTCATTGAGCTGGGTTGAGACAGTCGGCTATTCATTTGGGAGAAAAAAAGTGATGTCTCCATCTCACACCTTAAACAAAATACATTCCAGATGGGTTAAAGCTCTAAATGCATGGAATAGAACTATAGAAGTATTAGGAGAAAAACAGGAAAATATTTTTATAACCTTGGAGCTTAGGAAAAGCCTCCTAAGACATCAAACCCCAGGGCTATAAATAACACCAGGGAACACTTTAATTTACCACGTGCCAAAACACTGTTCCAAGCATTTTACAAATATCAGGTCATTCAGTACTCACAGCTCTATGCGTTAGGGTTTTATGATCACCCCCCACTTTATAAATGAGGAATTGGGGGCACAGTTAAGAAACTCAAAGGCTCATACAGCTAGCAAGAGGCAAAGCTGGGGTCCGAACCCAGCAGTCTAGCTCAGAGTCTGTGGCTTTTATTGAAACGCCCTACCTCTAGAGGACTAAGAGATTAAAATAAATAAAATGACAAATTGGAAGAAGCCTCTTGCAACAGGGCAACACATAATAATCAAGAATAACTCCGGGAGCGCCTGGGTGGCTCAGTCCTTAAGCATCTGCCTTCGGCTCAGGTCATGATCTCAGGGTCCTCGGATGGAGCCCCTCATTGGGCTCTCTGTTGAGCAGGGAGCTTGCTTCCCCCCTGCCCCCCGCCCGCTTATGATCTGTCAAATAAATAAATAAAATCTTAAAAGAAAAAACAACTCCCCACTTCTACGAAGAGTTCCTACACAGTAATAAACCTAGTTATTGGGATTATGCATAAAGCACTGTTTCACATGATGGGGGTGGGTGGGTGTTAAGTTAAGGCAATCTTCCTAGAGGGCACTTTGCCAGTTCCTGTCAAAATTCATCCAACTTTCATTTATTCACTCAACAAATATGTGTCAAGCACTTTTTATGTGCCAGGCACTATCCTTGGCGATAAGACTGAAACAGTGAGGAAGAGAAGACCCCCTCAAGTATTTTAGCCAGAGGAGACAGTAAGTAAGAAATACATTGGAGGGGCGCCTGGGTGGCCCAGTTAGTTAAGCATCTGCCTCTGGCTCTGGTCATGATCTTGGGGTCCTGGGAGCAAACCCCAGTGTTGGGCTCCCTGCTCAGCCAGGAATCTGCTTCTCCCTCTCCCACCTCCCGGCTTGTGTTTTCTCTCAAATAAATGAAATCTTTAAAAAAAATTAAATACACTTGAGGTAGTGTTATGAGCTATTTAAAAAAAAAATAAGCAGGGTGACGTGGTAAAGGATGAAGGGGTTTGGCGCGGGGGCTACTTAAAAAAGGAGCCCTCTTTGAGAATGGCAAGATGGTATCAGAGCTTGAAAAAGAAAATTACTACAGGCAGAAGCAGCAGCATGTGCAAAGGTTCTGCGGTGGGAGCGGGCTTACTGGAGGATAGAAAGAAGGCTAGTTCGGCTCAGGGATGAGACAGGACAGGGACCAACTGAGGGTACCCGTGGTTAGCGTGTAGGTCGGAGAGGCGCGACGCCTCAGATCCCAAGGATTCCAGGAGCCCGGGTGGGAGGGCGGGATTTCAGTCACCTCTTGGGAAGCCAGTGAAGGGCTTTACGCAGGGAGTGGGATTATATTTATATATATATTATATAGTTACTAATATTATTAGTATTACTAACCGACTTATATCTGAAAAGACTCTGGTTGCTTTGCACAGAGGGGACTGCCCAGGGGCCACAAGAGAAGCCGCGAAGAGGCCATAGGAGAGAAGGGGGGCCGGGACCGGAGGGACCCTGGAGACGGAGAAATAGAGAAAAAACCAGCCGTACGGGGTTCATGTTTGGAGAGGAAATACGTAAGGGTGACCCTTAGCCTTGACTTTTCTTCGGGTTGTGAGGTCGCCCTCGTGCAAGACAAGCACACAGAGAGGTGTTGGAGCGTTCCGAGGCCGCACCGGGGGACGGCGGCACGGACGCAGCAGGGTCTGGCAGCTCGGAGAGGCAGCGTGCGGCGGCCGCGGTGGAGGCCTCGGGGACCCCGGCGGCTCGTCTCCCTGCAGGCCGGGCGCTGTCGGAGCTCGTGTTTGAGGAGTGCCCGGACCGCCGCCTGGGCGTCGCCACCGCAGCACACACGCCCCAGAGCGCTGCCCACCCGACCTCCGAGCGTCCGGGCCCGGGACGCGTCTGCTGAGCCCCCGGCCGCGGGCTCCTTTTGTCCGGCCCACGTGGCCCGCCCGCGCCCCGGCCGACCCGCCCGCGCATGCTCCCTCGTGCGCGGCGCGCAGAGCCCCGCCTCCGGCCGCCCAGTGCGCAGGGCCGCGGCCCCCTCCTCACGCCCCCTCCCCACCAGGCGCCCGTCGCTGTGCGTTTGCGTCATCGCGCCACGCCACCACGGGAGCTCAGGCGAAGATGGCGGCAGCCGTTCTGAGCGGGCCCTCGGCGGGCTCCGCGGCCGGGGTGCCCGGCGGGACGGGGGCTCTGTCGGCGGTGGGCTCGGGCCCGCGTCTCCGCCTGCTGCTGCTGGAGAGCGTGTCCGGGCTGCTGCAGCCGCGCGCGGGGGGGCGCCGTGGCGCCCGTGCATCCCCCGGTGCGCTCGGCCCCGCACTTGCCCGGGCTCATGTGCCTCCTGCGACTGCATGGGACGGTGGGCGGGGCCCAGGTGAGTGCGGCCCGCGTGCCCGCGGCCCTGCCGGGGAGCTGGCGCCGCTGCGGGGCCGCGGGGCGCGGGGGCGGCGGGGAGGGCGGGCTGGAAGGGCTGGGGGCTTCTGCCGCAGCCCGTGTCGGTCTGGGCGACGTTCACGCCGTTGGCGGAAACTCCGGGGTGGGAGGAGGGGCCTCGCTGCTCCGCCGCTGGGCTGTTGGCAGTCGCTCGGGACTGTGGGTTCGAGTCCAGGCCCCGCAGCTCAGCTGCACGATCTTCCCTCTCCCCTTCGCGGTCTGGTTGTGGGATTGTTCCGACCGAATGAACAGACGTGGACGACGAATGTTGACCGAGGCCCTCCCGAGCCGGACTCTCGGGCGCTCCACTCGCAGATGCGGTGGTGCTGAACACCGTGTCTGGAAACAGTGAGAGTGGCGTGGCCGGGACCCCTCACCTGACCCCGAGGACTGCGGAGGTTTTCCTGAGGCGCTGGAGCTTAAGCCGACATCCTCCCCCGTCCCGGGAAGAGCAGGGGGTTGGCTAGGGAAAGGAAATGGGAGAAGTCCACGTGGGAAGGTCCTGTGGCAGGAGGGGCATCGCGTGTGGGGCTCGGAGGCGGTGGGGACCAGCGTGGGCACAGTGAGGCTGGTGCGGTGCGGGGCAGAGCCTTGTAGACTGGTTTAGAAGAGGTTCTTCTAAGGACCCGCAAACTAGAAACCCAAATGTCCACCAAAACACGTTCGTGCTCCCATGCCTTCCTCATGTTCAGTCCCTTTGATTTTATTACCCAATTAGCTTTCAGATCTGTCCACTCCTTTCCATATCCTTCCTGGCGTGTTCCAGTGTTAGCTTGAACCCCGCTCTCTCGCCCAGGTGAAGGCCCTGCGTGTAGAAAGGCATAGTGTGTCCAACGCCACGTCTAAGGGTGGGTGGGTGCTCCTTTCATATCCCCTGCCCTCCGTCCTCGACTCGGCCCTCCCCAAATTCTACCCACCCCTCAAGATCCATATACATGAGGTCTTCTTTGTCCCATCTTTGTTCCTCAGACCTCCCTAGCACCCTGCTTCCTTCCAGCAGGAGGGTTGTCACAACCTTGGGTGTTTCTCTGGTCTGAGTCCCAGAGTTATCAGGAACGGTCTCATCGCTGACACTGATGTTACTCCCCACCATTGAGGGTGACAGAACCGTACCTCTGCCATTCAGCCCACTTTGGGAAGTGGGAGCTGATGACGCATTTTCTTGTCTCAATCTCCCACCTTCTAATCCACATGCGTTTCTGAAACGTTGTCTCTTCTGCCTATACACGTGTGGTTTCTTTCCTTGTCCCAAGTTTTCCCTCCTCCCTCGAGACGAGTCCGTGAACCCAACGTCTTATTTTCTCCCAAGTGTCTAAAGCCTGGCAGAATTTCGAGCAAAGCTAAAGGTGATGTGGGAATCTAGACTCCCCCTTTAATATTGTCCGTGCCACATTCTGGGGCATAGCCTGCCTTTTTTCTTGCTAACGTCTCTTGTCTCTCGTATTGGATCCTGGGTTCGTTGGGCTCACAGTGCCGCCTGGAGGGTTTGCTTTGCGTCTGCCTGTTTTCATTCAAACAATACCGAGGTGCTGTTACGCAGTAACTATTGTTCTCGTCTCTGGTAGACACATAGGCGTGGTCTTTTCCCTTGGAGAATTTCTAGTCTAATTGAGATGAGAAATGAAAGTAAGGAAATAGGCTTGGAGCTTATTGGAAAGACAAATAGAACCATCGATTGGGCCATCTGTTTTGGCTGAATCACCAACTTGCTTTCCTATAGGTGGCGGGAACTCAGTTGTTGCACAGTGAAACTGTGCCCAGTTGCTGGTGTGGATTATAGCAAGACTTGTCTCCTTGCCTTGGTCTTGTGGCATTTCACTCGTTTCTCTCATGGCAGCCGGAGTGAGCTTGCTCCAGGAAAACCCTGATGCCGTTTGCCGGGGTTTACGATCCTCTCTAGCTGGGCTTTCTTGGCTTTGGGCCTTTGCACTGTTCTCCGCTTGGGGTCCCTCCCCGTGCTGCTGCCCTGCTCCCTGGAAAAATCTTTTCAGTTCTGTGCTTTTCACTGCCTTTGGGGAACCCTTCCAAACCTTTACCCGTGATTAGCTGTCCTTTCTTACAACATAGTGAAATGATATATTTATTCGTTTCACGTGTTTATATAACCTTCTTCCCTTACCAAACAGCTAGGCTTTGATTTGCTCTATTTTATATGTAATGAAAAAAGATGGAACTCGGGGCATCTGGGTGGCTCAGTGGGTTAAGCCTCTGCCTTTGGCTCAGGTCATGGTCTCAGGGCCCTGGGATCGAGCCCTGCATTGGGCTCTCTGCTCAGCGGGGAGCCCCCCCCCCCGCCTCTCTGCCTACTTGTGATATCTCTCTTTCTGTCAAATAAATAAATAAAATCTAAGAAAAAAAAAGAACTTAGTTCGGAGTACACAAAGGTAGAGAAAATAGTATTTTGAGGGATGCCTGGGTGGCTCAGGTCATGCTTCCTGGGTTCTGGGACAGAGTCCCACATTGGTCGAACTCCCTGCTCAGCCGGGAGCCTGCGTCTCCCTCTGCCTTCCGCTCTGCCTCTTGTGCTTGCTCTCTCTGTCAAATAAATAAATAAAATCTTTAAAAAAAACCAAACCAGTATTTTGAACCATCCCACCCTATGCTGTCCCTGTCACCCAAATTTAACAATGGATGTTTTACCAAATGGTTTCATGCCCACCGTCCCAACTCTGCTCTCCTCCCCCAGCATTTTAAAGCAAATCCCACATCTCATTTTGCTTGTAACTGCGTGTTCTTAGAAGGATGGAATGTCTTATTCTGCTTTTATCCCCAGGGCTTTGTACTCTTCTGTGCCCCAGTCAGTAGCCACTGATCTGCTTAAAAATATCAATAAAAGGGGCACCGGCTGGCTCAGTCCGTAGAGCAGGTGACTCTTGATCTCAGGGTCATGAGTTCAAGTCCCATGCTGGGCATGGAGTCGACATAAAAAAAAAAGTATATCAATAAAATGACAACATTCTTTTGCTGAAAAACGCACAGTAATCCCTATCTTGTGTGGCCTCTGCTGACCTCCTGACTTCATCTCGCACCGCTCCCTGTCTGTGTGGACCCCGCTTCAGCCGCCCAAGCTCACCTTGTTTCTGGAGTTGCTGGGACCCTTGCTCACCAGCTCCTGGGTGCTTCTCTGGGAAACTCGGGAAGCTTGTGGAGGGTGAACTTCCCACTTAAGTCTCAGCTTCTGTGCGCCTGTTTCACAGGAGTCTTTCCTGACCACCGCACCCCAGTCCGCCCTGACGTAGACATTCTCTGACGCATTGTCCTGTTCGGTTTTCTTCCCAGCATTGATCACCACTGGAAGGAAATAAACCTATGTCTTATCTGTCACATTCTTTGTTCTCTTCTTACCCAGTTTAAGCTCCGTTATAATCCCTTTGCTGCCCCTCCTGTCATTGTACTTGCGGGCTTGTACCTCCTCTGAGGTGAATTTAACTGTTCATTCTGTGCGTGCGCCTGCGTAGCCCAGCGTGGCTTCAAGACAGGTGTCCTTGCAGACTGTCACTTAGCACTCACGGCCGTCATCGTCTGCAGTGGACCCTAGTGTTGCCCAGCATCCCCACCACGTTTCTGCTTCCCCAGACAGCCTCTAACTGCCTCTTTGCACCCTCCTGGTTAGATGTTCACTTGCATCCTGTCTCACTGAGAAGGTAGAAGCCGTCAGATGGGTGGCCCTGTTGGTTCCCACCGGGTTCACTAAGTCTGTGTCCATACGCTCTGCCTTCCCTCCCACGCTAAGGGGTGAGCTGCTCCATGCCCCTGTCCCCCCACTTCACCAGCTCTCCCCACTGTTGGAGCATTTCATCCCGCACTGCCCCAGGTGGCTTTAACACGCCCCTCCCTGGCCCCGCTGTCTCCTGCCCCATTTCTTTTCTTGGCAAGACTCCTCAAAAGAATTGTACTTGATGTCCCCAGTTCTCTTGTTTCTTCTTCTTTTTTTTAAATACCATTGCTGGGGCGCCTGGGTGGCTCAGTGGGTTAAGCCTCTGCTTTCACCTCAGGTCATGATCCCAGGGTCCTGGGATCCAGCCCCAATCAGGCTCTCTGCTCAGCAGGGAGCCTGCTTCCTCCTCCCTTTCTGCCTGCCTCTCTGCCTACTTGTGATCTCTCTCTGTCAAATAAATAATAAATAAATCTTTAAAAAAAATACTATTGCTTTGAAATAACTTAGAGTTTATGGAAAATTTGAAAGAATAATTAAAATAATCCCCATAGACCCTTCACCTCTATGCTCTACATGTCAACGTTTTATTTTATTTGTTTACGTTTAAAAGATTTATTTACGCATTTTAGAGGGCAAGGGAGGGAGAGGGACCAGCAGGCTCCCAGCTGGAGATCCTGACCTGAGCTGAAACCCAGAGTTGATGCCTTAACCTGCAGTTCGCCTCCTTGCTGTCCTGTCGCGGACGCGTGGAGCCGCTCAGCCATTGCTGTGATCAATTTCATGTATTTATTTTGATTACTGTTATTTTTAAAGGTTTAATTTTTTAAGTAATTTCTACACCCCACGCAGGGCTGGAGCTTGCAGCCCCGAGGTTAAGAGTCACGCGCTCCCTCGCCCTTGGCGGCCGCGCGCCCGCCGTGATGGGTGTAGAATGGCTCATTCCTCCAGAAGGAAGCCCTGGGCCCCCGTGGTCCCTGACTGCTTCCCTATGGCTGTGCTCTACTCTTTGTCTCTCGGTTTGCCTGTCTCGACTGGCTCATGGGAACAAATTCTACACGTGGTGTTTCGGGTCTGGCTGCTTTCGTGTAGCATCACGTTTTGAACGCTCGTCCGTGTCCCAGAGCTTCATTATTATTATTACTATTACTATTATTTTATTTTATTTATTTTTTAAAGATTTTATTTGTTTATATGACAGAGATCACAAGTAGGCAGAGAGGCAGGCAGAGAGAGGAGGGAAGCAGGCTCTCCGTGGAGCAAAGAGCCCGATGCGGGGCTCGATCCCAGGACCCTGGGATCATGACCTGAGCTGAAGCCATAGGCTTAACTTACTGAGCCACCCAGGCGCCCCTATTATTATTATTTTTTAATACGGCCACTCACTCTTCCGTCGTGTGGGTCTGTGGTCCATCGGCCGGTGCGTGGGCCCTGGGGTGGTTCTACTCTTGGGCTGTCAGGAAGGACGCTGGGAAGCGTCACGTGCGAGTCTCGGCAGAACTGGGTTCTCAGTTGTCTTAGGGCTGTCCCCGGGGCGGGAAGTGCTGGGTCATGTGACCTTCGGAGATGCTGCCAGAATGTTCTGAAGTGGCTGCACCATCTTCTCTTCCTTCAGCAGAGTATTCAGATAGGGGTGCGTCTCACTTTCCATTCGCTCGAGGGCGTCCCCAGAGAGGGCTTCTGTGCCTGCTGCTCGCTGACCTGACCTCCCTCCCCCACGCCAGGTGCTCGGCTCCTTCCCAAGTCTGCTTTAGGCCACCCCATGGCCCTCGGCGCCATCCCACTCACTAGTGTTGGGTCATTTGTGTATTTTCTGCCCTGTGCATCTAGCACACACGTTCCCCAGCACCTAGAGCAATGTCCCACGTGAGGTCGACCTTGAATACGTATTGACTGAAGAAGCAAGTCAACATTTCCGACGTGAGAGCGGGGACCTTGTTGATTTTGTCCGGCTCTGGATCCCTTCATCCGTCGCCGTGTGTCCCGTGTGTGTTGGGAGAATGAGTGACGGGCACGGTTGGGGGGCCCAGGGGTCATGCGAGGAGCTCGGCCTTCCGCGGGGCAGCAGGGTACTCTTGGGAGGCCTGGGAGGAAACCTGTGTCAGGGCCCCCAGAATGTGCGGGAAGGAGGCTCTGGCTGACTGGGTCAGTGTTGGCATCGGCTAATGGCTCTGAGGAAGCCGGGAACAGGATGTGGAGGGTTTGGGGGTGAAGGCCGGGGGTAACAGATGGGGTCAGCGTCCGTCCAGCAAGTGTGTGTGGCATCTGCTCTGTGCTGGGCGCTGCTCGGGGACACTGAGCTGGGATGTGGGTCTCGGAGGTCTGGTCGCCGGGCTGTTTTGGGCTGTCCTCTGCGCGGCACTAACCTGCTGGGTGGGAGGCAGGAGAAGGGGTCAGGCAGGATGGGGCCTGGAGGAAGGCCCCGAGGCACGGGCTGCTGAGTGTCAGCTGCTGGAAATGGGGCCTTGGGGCTCAGGGGAGGCTTCATAGGTGCGGGCAGGGAAGGGCCCAGAGAAGCGCCCCTGCCGCCATCAGCATCCTGTTCCTGACCCACTTCCCTGTTTGCTCCCCCAGAACCTGTCCGCCGTTGGGGCGCTGGTGGGTCTCAGTAACGCACGGCTCGGTTCCATCAAAACTCGGTGAGTCTTTAAGCCTCATTTTTCCATGTGGTGGTTCCTCAAGAAGCGAGCTGTCCATCTGGCCATCCATCCATGGTCAGCACCCTGTGGACTCAAGAGACTTCTCGTCGAGAGGGTGGAGGGTTTCCTTCTTCCCGTGGGCTCCCATGGGGTGAGCCCCGACTGCTCCGGCCCCGGCTCGTCCTTCATGGGACCACCTCCGTTCCCAGCGTCCTCGCTGCTTGCATCTCACCAGAGCCCTCCAGGCATTTCGGGAGTCAGAAAGCGCTGAGGGTCTGGAAGGGGCGTCAGCTTTGGCCCCCGGCGCACCAGCGTGGTGACCGGTGTTCTCGGGGGCGTGGCTGCCGCTGCGGGCTGTCACTGGCTGCTTCCCTGGCAGGTTTGAGGGCCTGTGTCTGCTGTCCCTGCTGGTGGGAGAGAGCCCCACGGAGATGTTCCAGCAGCACTGCGTGTCCTGGCTCCGGAGCATTCAGCAGGTGCTACAGGTAAGGGGTCACACCCCCGCCGGCCGGGGCCTGGAGTCCTGAGGACGCGGAGTCTCGAGGACAGGGGCAGGAGAGGCAGTGTCCTGACAGCACGGAGCGCGAGCTTCAGGTGCAAACACGGCAGTAAACTTTCTGACGTTTTTATCCAGGGGGTGTTTTAAATCATTTGACCTTCACACACTTGAATCACTGACGGATTTCACTTCCTCGCTAGCTTTTCTAACAAGCGACATTGCGAAAGTTCCTTTTTCCGGGTGTTTTATTTTTATGTATTGTTTGCTTGGGTGTTTTGTTTTGTTTTTTGTCTTTTTTTGCTGCTCCCTTTTTCTCTTTCAGCATTTTCAGTTTTTTTCTAACCTGCTTTGATGGTCTCCCCACTTCGTTCTTCTGCAAGCACATTCTGAGCACGGGGGCCTGAGTGCTAAGCTCTAGGGGCACCGTGGTCGGGTGACCCTGGCCCCGCTGGCATGGTTCTCAGAGTCCAGCATGGGGTGTTGAGGGACTTTTCAAGAAGTAAATGTCTGCAGAAAATAAATTAAAAAAAAAAACACAGCACAGTTTTACTCAGAAAATGCAGCATGTGAACCACGCCCAGTTAGCTGGTACTCATGTTTCCAGAGCATGTGTTCTGAGCAGGTCAGTAAATCGCACTTACCTGGCTACCGCCGTGGAAATCTGTAAATCCACGTACCGGCGGGAGACGTGGTGCAGTTCTCCTGTCTGAATTCCCCCACGGTCAGAGCCTTGTCCTCTGCACGGCCCTCGCAGCTCGTCGTCCTTTGTTTGCGTGACTGCAAGCGTGCGTGACAGCGTTTGGATCGCAGCCAGGTTTGATTGGTCTCTGAAATTTTGAGCTCCTGAGAACAACTTCAGGGGGTTGTACCGAGTAGGTGCTGAAGGCCTCAGTATGACAGGATTCTGTCTGCCCAGAAATTCTGTAAATACACTGCTGACCGTGTGATCAAAGGCTGTGTTCTGTCTCTGGCCAAACCTCTTTTTTTTTTTTTTTTTAAGAATTTATTTATTTGTTTGACAGAGATCACAAGTAGGCAGAGGGACAGGCAGAGAGAGAGGGAGAAGCAGGCTCCCCGCTGAGCAGAGAGCCCGATGCGGGGCTCGATCCCAGAACCCTGAGATCATGACCTGAGCCGAAGGCAGAGGCTTTAACCCACTGAGCCACTCAGGCGCCCCTCTGGCCAAGCCTTCTTCAGGAAAATTTTCATCATTCAAGTGCAGCTGACATGCGGGGTTGTGTTCGTTTCGGTGTACCCACCGGGGCTCGAGAGTTCCTGTGCTCTGCTCCGGGGTGCAGATAGGAAGCGTTCTGGCTTTGCAAACCACATATGCTTTCTGTTGCATTTTCTTTCTTTTTTCCTTTTCCAACTGTTTAAAAATGTAAAACTCCTGTTCTAGCTTATGGGCTATGCGAAAACAGGCCGTACAGACCATACAGTTGCTGATGCCTTTCCCAGTGGGAGAGGCTTTTCTAGAATAATCGCATTGTGGGGCGCCCAGCCAGCCCGTCAGGAGGGCCAGCCCGTCAGGAGAGTGTGTGACTCCACGTGGGGCATGCTGTCCTGCCCGGCGGGGCGTGGAGTGGCTTACAGACAGAAGGGAAGGCGCCCTAGGTGTGGCGCGGCACGCCGCTGCCAGGACGTGGGGTGAGGAGCACAGTCTCTGTGGACCAGTGGTTCACGGAGGGCTTCTCCGAGCTGATGGGGCTAAGAACGTGTTGATAAGTGTGCAAAAGCCCCGAGAGGACAGGAGTTTGGCCCAGTTGGAGAATTACAAGCAAGCTGGTGTGGCCGAGCGGGGTTGATGAGATGCCACTGGGGACGGGGGGTAGGGAGGGATGTGGGGACCGAACAACGTGTGGGGGCCTGGGGCATGTTAGGGAGCTCGGTGTTTGTTGTTGGAACACTGGGAAGTCATGGGAGGTGTGTTTTTTTTTTTGTTTTGTTTTTTTTTTTTTTAAGATTTTATTTACTCATTAGAGAGAGATTGAGTATGAGTCAGGGATAAGGGCAGGGGTAGAGGGAGAAGCAGACTCCCTGCTGAGCAGGGAGCCTGACACGGGGCTCGATCCCAGGACTCAGGGATCATGACCTGAGCCAAAGGCAGACGCTTCACCTACAAGCCCCTCAGGCGCCCCTCATGGAAGGTTTTGAGTAGGGGTGAGGAGGAGATGGTGGTGGTGGTGACGTGATCAGATTCTCAGTTGGAAGTACTACCTCGGCTGCTGTTTGGAGAAAGAACTAGAAAGGAGCCAGATTGCAAGCAGAAAGACCTCGTAGAGGGGAAACCTCCTGGTAGCTTGTGCTGGGGAGGAGGCCGCGGAAAGGATGAGAAGTTGAGTCCAGGAGAGGCTTAGAGGCAAAGTGGACAGGTCCCGATGGTGAAACAGGTACGTGCGGGACAATCCCGGATTTCCGAGCGCTGGGACGGTCAGGCTGGGAGGGGAGGGGGGCAGCCTGGGGAGGTAGGCCTTGGCCACTCCCTTAGTGAGCATAGCCCTGAGCAGGTGCGAGCGGCAGCCCACGGGCTCGGTGGGTTTGGGGGGGCAGTGGAGGCTCAGGTGAGGATGAACTCGGGCACTTCCGTGGACAGCGTGGGAAGATGCGCCCCTGACTGCGGCCAGGTAGGGGAGGGGAGCCGACAGGACGGGGCATTGCACCGCAGACGGCATGGCAGGGCTGTGGGTTGGGTGGTGTACAGGGAAGGGGCAGGACCCGTGTGTTTCTGCGGCTCAGAGTTGGAGCGAGGTGAGGACGGAATGCTGGGTTTCGGATGTAGCAGCTCAGGGGTTAGGAGACTGGCAGAGCGCGGACACGGGTCGGGAGTGGGTACACACGTGGGGGAGCCAGGCAGTCCCGATGCTGGGCTCCCATGGGAGGGAATTGCGCAGTAACCGCGGGCAGGTGTGTGGGGCTTGGGAAGGGTATTTACGGAGGGGGTGCTTGTGTGCGGAGGACTCTGCAGGACTAGCTGGACATGCGGGACAGGCGCTGGGGGACAGTCCACGCACAGGGTGACAGGATGGGGGAGAGGGAGGTGAGAACGAAGGGACGGTTTCAGGTGTGGCCGGGGACTCCTGCCTGTCCCAGGGCTTCCGTCGTCTGTGAAGGTGGCAGCAGCGGGAGGAGGGGTGACCAGAGGGGGCGTTAATGGGACCGAAATGCAGTGTCAGAGGCACTTGTTCTTCCTTTCTTTTTTTAAATTTCTTTTTTGTTTTTTAACTTAAATTCAGTTAGACAGCACATAGTATATCATTAGTTTGCAGACGTGGAGTTCGGCGTTCCATCAGTGGTGTGGAACACCCGGTGCTGATCACATCATGCGCCCCCACCGAGCCCCGCACCAGTTGGCCCAGCCCCAGCCCTCCCTGTGCTTACTTGCTCACTGATGAGCCGTACTTGTTTTGTGGCCGGACGGCCTCGGGTCTGGCGGGAGGTCGGTGCCAACTATTTCCTGTGTACACGTTGATTTTCCAGGGAAGTCCTAGATCCACACTGTTTTCTCCTCCACGAGTCCAGGGTAGGTGTGAGCCAGGCTGAAGCCCGCTTGGCGACATGGGGCGGCTTCGCTGTGGCCGCAGCTGTTTCCAGGGCGAGAAGGGCGCTTCTCTGTTCCTAACAGGGGAGCGCAGTCGAGAGAACCACTCGCCATCTCCCGTTAGTCAGATCTGTAAGGCCTGGTTTTGTTTCTTTCCCAGCACATTCAGGGCTCCAGATGCCCGTGGTACTAAAGCCTAGACATGTGTCCTTTCTGTAGACACGCTACATTGGGGTTCCCAGTGTCCCAGTGGGTGTGTGGGCAACAGTGTGTGGTGTTCCTTGGAAGCCCCATGCTGGCCTGCCTCCCAGGCCACCGCCTCTTGGTGACTGCAGAGGTGAGCTCAGGAGCGTGGGGTTCGTTGCTTTTAGTCCCAGGACCCGCCCCCCACGATGGAGCTGGCTGTGGCCGTCCTGAGGGACCTGCTCCGCTATGCAGCCCAGCTGCCTACGCTCTTCCGGGACATCTCCATGAACCACCTCCCCGGCCTCCTCACCTCCCTGCTGGGCCTCAGGCCAGAGGTGAGACCCCTCCCCCACCCAACCGACCCCAGCCCGCACAGTGCTCTCCCTCCAGCGGGTCGGAGTGCAGGGAGCAGGCGGGAGAGGGAGGAGAGGTAGGGCCGAGGACAGTGTGGCGGGGGATGGTGAGTGTGTGGGGTCCCGGGGGTGTTGGGCTCTGCGCCTCGGCCTGACTCTCCGTTCCGCCCACAGTGTGAGCTCTCAGCGCTGGAGGGCATGAAGGCCTGCATGACCTACTTTCCTCGGGCCTGTGGGTCTCTCAAAGTAAGTATTCCCCGAAAGGCCTTTTCCACCCGCGTAACCCTCGCTCGCTGTCTTAGCTCAGAGCCCACAGCGGAGAATTCGGAGCACCTGTCTGCCGAGCGCACGGTCCTGTCCCCGCAGATGGCTCTGTGCCTCCTGCTGGCTCTCCGGGCTCACAGAGAAACGGACTTGCCTGTGCTTGGTGAAGATCGGAACCCACGTCTGATGCCAAAACCCTTAACCTAGACTCCTTCTCCCGTCTGCCCTGCCCGTTCTCCTCCCATCCTGTCTCACTTGCTGCCTACGGCTCTTGCCGTTTCCTCCAGGAAGCCTTCCTGACTGACTGCTTTCCTGTATTAACACGTAGTCCCGACTAAACTATGTCATGACCTGTATGGGGTTTTTTGGCTTGTGGTTTTTCTGTTTTTTTTTTTTTTTTAAGATTTTATTTATTTGACAGAGAGACAGTGAGAGAGGGAACACAAGTGGGAGAAGCAGGGTTCCCACGGAGCAGGGAACCTGATGTGGGGCTTGATCCCAGGACTCTGGGATCATGACCTGAGCCAAAGGCAGATGCTTAATGACTGAGCCACCCACGCGCCCCTTTGCTTGTTTTTTTAACCAAAGTTTTACTGAGTTCTGTAAACTCTCCCTTTCTTTTAAAATGCTCTAAGGGAGCTGCTTGCGTGCCACAGGCTGGGTCTCTGTGCCCGAGCTCGCTCTGGTCGGTGGTCAGAGGGGCGAGGCGTTCCTGTGGGTCTCGTTGGTTCAGCTCTGAGTGGGCATGTCTGTCTGCCTGCACGCCCCCCCACCTTTGGGTTCAAACTGTCGGGGCCTCTGGGATGCCCATGTTCCCTGCGCTGGTGCCTCTTGGTTGTCCCTTTGAGCATGGAGGAGAATTCAGCCTTGAGTTTCTGAGGCCAGGCCCGAGGTTCCAGGGTGCTTTACAGAGCTAACAGCTTTTCCAGATGTTGCTACAGGGCGGGCGGGTGTGCTTTTATTTTGCTAAGAGTAAGGTGTCATGTGGAGAAGGGCCGTCTGCGGAGGGTTCTGGCTTTGTGGGCTACCAGCCTGTCTGTGGGAAAATGCAAGACTCCCGGGCGGTTTGTACCTGGAGGCTCTTGCCGTGGGGACTGAGGACAGGATAGGTGCCGTGGGAGTGTCTGTCCTTGGCTTGGTGCGGAAGCTCCCAGTGCAGCGGCGGTCTCGCAGGGTCTCCCGGTCCGGGCTGCTGCGCCCCTGCCTTCTGAGGCTGGGAGGTGAGTCCGCAGGGCCTCTGCCTTTCCTCGCCGAGGTGATGAGTGCTTTGTGGCCTGAGACATGGGGGCCACGCCCCATGGGCACACTGCTTGCTCGCAGGTCAGGTGGAGTGTCTTGCAGGAGCCCCCACTCCTTGCATCTCCTGGGGCCATGCTTTGCCGCACTCCCGGACATGGCCCACAGCCCGCCCTATGCCGCGCTCTCAGGGGGGGGGGGGGGGGGAGCAGGAGCAGGAGTGGAGCGAGAGGGCAGGGCGCCCCGGGGTCAGGCCTTTGGCCGCCCTCCGGGAAACGTCCTCGGGAAAGCGGGTCAGTCAGGAGACCTGTGTGCGGTTGCTATTCTTGGTCTGAAGCATCCCGAAGCCTCCCGCATTGCTGGGAAAGTGCCCTCCAGCCCCCCCCACCCTCCGCGTCCCCGGGAGTGGTTCCAGGCCTTGTACCCCAGGGTCAGCGAGAGCAGCACTTGGCTGGCGGTCTGTGAGTCCTAAAGGGTGATGTGGGAAGCCCCACGAGGTTCCCGCCACGGGGCAGGTGTGGGGGAGGCTGGGAGGCTGGGCCTCCATCCCGAAGTGCCTCCGCGTGCCTGACGCCACAGCCCACGGTTCCTCTGCGAGTTCACCCTCGTGTGCGAGATGCCCCGTCCTCACGGGGTCCCTACTCCCCAGCCTGGGGTCCAGGGCCTCCGTGCGCTCCCGACCGTGCGTCTCCCCGCTGGTCCTACCCCGTGGGTGTCCTTCCTCTCAGCCCCGCTGGCTGCTGGCCCGCCCCGCCTCCCAGCACCCGCCCCCGGGGGCTCACGTCTTGGGTCCTTCTGATGCCCTCTCACTTCCCCTGGAGCCGGGGACCCCGTTTCACGCCTTCTTTGTGTCCACCTCAGTGTTCTTGCCCTTGTTTGGGCCACGGACTCCTTCCCAGAGTGCTTCTGAGTTCCGGAAGCACATGGAATTGCAGGGGAGGCCGACTCTGATGAGAAGGTGCGTTCCGAGGAGTGTGATAGAGCCGCGCGTCTCACTGTTAGCAAGTCAGACGCCGAGATCGTAGCTCTAACAGCGCCTGAAATTCCGAGTTAGTGATGTACGTGACCAGTGTTTCCAGATGCCTGCGAATTAGAACCAGAGGTGGAAAGGCGTGGTTTCCCCTGGTGGCAGGCAGAGATGCTGCTGCTGCTGCTGCTGGGTTCTCCGCCCACGTTTGTGGTTATCTTACAGGCTAGTGAAATGGAAAATGTTTCTTGCCAGCTGCGTTTGCAGGCCCCCTGGATTCTAGCCCCTGGGAGCTGGTGGCTTTGCCGCGGCCGGCCGAGCGGGTGTTTGCCTGTGGCCAGGCTGCTCTGACCTGTGCTGACCCGCGCACCCCTGCCTGGGGCCTCTCTCCCCGACTCACATCTTTGCCTGGTCGAAGCTGGAGGAACAGGACTGTCATTTTGCAGAAGTGGGCCTGAGGGAGCCCAGTGTCTGTGGCGGGACGGGGAGGCGAGCTGAGGACGAGGGCCGACTGTCAGCAGGTCTGCTCACAGGCTGGGCGCTGCGGGTCCTGTGTCTGCAGGAGACAGAAAGCTGGGTTTCGTTCTGCTGCTGGCAGTGGACCAGGGTGTTCCTCTCTGGCCCTTGACTCACCAGCCTCTTCCTCTCTTTCCCCCGACCCAGGGCAAGCTGGCCTCGTTTTTCCTGTCCCGGGTGGATGCCCTGAGCCCCCAGCTCCAGCAGGTATAGGGAAGAGAGGGAGGCGGAGAGCCCCTGGGGTCTGAGCTGGAGCTTCTGTTCTCTCTTGGCTTTTCTCTCTGTTGCCACCGTCGGATCGGGTTCTCGCTTCCCTCCCGTTTCGTGCACAAGATGCTCACCTCCAACTCCTCTGCCTTGCTGTCCTTTCTGCTCCACTCTGAGCTCTCTTGGCACGTGGGGGTCGTCAGGCTGCGGGGCTGGCCCGGGGTCCCGTCCGACTGCGTCTGACCTCTCTCCTGCAGCTGGCCTGCGAGTGCTACTCCAAGCTGCCCTCTCTGGGCGCCGGCTTCTCGCAGGGCCTGAAGCACACGGAGAGCTGGGAGCAGGAGCTGCGCAGCCTGCTGGCCTCCCTGCACAGCCTGCTGGGGGCCCTGTACGAGGGCGCAGAGACCGGTACGGACCGGGGGCCTGCGGTGGGGAGGGGAGTGGGCAGTGGGTTTCCGCCTCCACAAGGGAGGCAGGAGGGGCGGATAAGGGTGTCAGGGCGCGACGTCCTCGTGTTTCCCTGCAGCCCCCATGCAGTATGAGGGCCCCGGCGTGGAGATGCTGCTCACACCCTCGGAGGACGGGGACGCCCATGTCCTGCTGCGGCTCCGGCAGCGCTTCTGCGGACTGGCCCGCTGCCTGGGGCTCATGCTCAGGTGCGTGGGGGACCAGGGGGCGGGGCCGTCCTCATCAGGACGGGGTGGAGCGGCGGCAGCTGGGGGCGCGGTCAAGCTGGGGAGCCCACGCTGAGGACCGGTCTGCTCTCCTCCCCTTTAGCTCAGAGTTCGGGGCTCCCGTGTCCGTCCCTGTGCAGGAAATCCTGGACGTCATCTGCCGGGCCCTCAGTATCAGTGCCAAGAGCATCGTGAGTGGAGCTGGCGCTCTGCATGGTGTCCTCTGGCTGGGCGGGGGGTGGGGGCAGTGCGGGAGCCGCCCCTCCCACAGCGGCGTCCCCTGAGACTGTCCCGGTCAGCCCCCTTTCTCTGGCTGGGTGCCACCGCTCCCGGTGCTTGTCCTGACATGTGCCCACTGGGGCACGTCGGCTCCAGTTCTCAGGACACGTCCAGCGGGTGCTTCCCTGGGGTCGGGGTGAACCTGGGGCTCAGCGGGGTCACGGCTGAGAGGTCCAGTCACGCTCCCCGTCGTCCTCTCCCAGGTCTGTTTTAGAAGACGGGGTCTTTCCTGGTGGGCCAGCGGGGCGTGTGGGCCCCTTTCTGTGCACACACGTGTTTCTGTGTCCCTGTCTGTCTCGGCGTGGCCGCCCCCCCACTCCTGCCATGTTTTCCCACAGAGCTTGCTTGGAGACGGCCCCCTGCGGCTGCTGCTTCTGCCTTCTATCCACCTGGACGCCCTGGACCTGCTGTCTGCGCTCATCCTCGCGTGAGTGGGAGAGGACGGGGCGGTTGGGGGACGAGGACGCACTGGGAGCGGAGCTCACTGTTCTCTCTTCACTCTCAGGTGTGGAGGCCGCCTCTTGCGTTTCGGGGCCCTGATCAGCCGCCTGCTTCCCCAGGTCCTCAATGCCTGGAACCTTGGTAGGGATACCCTCTCCCCGGGCCAGGAGAGGCCGTACAGGTGACCGTGAGGGCGGGCGCGTACCAGAGAGCACGGGCTGGGGGCTCCGAGGGCGTCCCCCTCATGGACTGCTCTCTGCTCCCGCCGTAGCACCGTGCGGGCCAAGGTGTATGCCGTGCTGGAGCTGTGGGTTCAGGTGTGTGGGGCCTCGGCTGGAGTGCTGCAGGGGGGCGCCTCCGGAGAGGCCCTGCTCTCCCACCTGCTCAGCGACATCTCCCCGCCGGCCGACACCCTGAAGGTGAGTGAGTGCCCTGCTCCTGGCCCAGGACTCTCGTCTGGCACCCTTGCTGGAGCGAGCCTGCCTGCTAGAAGCCATCTCCTGCTGCCCTCCCGCTTCCTTGTTGGTCTGGGGCTGGCGACTTAGTGTCTGTCCTCCACCAGCTGCGCAGCCCGCGGGGGAGCCCAGATGGGGGGCTGCAGTCCGGGAAGCCCAGCGCTCCCAAGAAGCTGAAGCTGGACATGGGGGAGGCCGCGGCCCCACCCAGCCACCGGAAGGGGGACAGTAATGCCAACAGTGACGTGTGTGCAGCTGCGCTGAGAGGTGGGAGAGGCCGTGCCCTGCGGCCCTGGGTGCGGGCAGGGTGGTGTTGGACGTGCGGGGGGTCCTGCCTCATCGGTGGTCTGGGCCCCGCTGCTGGCCCTGCAGACTCTCGCTTGGCTCTGGCTGTGTCTCTGCTGGCCGCGGCCTCATGCGCCCCGTTACAGAGGGCAGGAGTGGGGCGGTTTGGCCGGGCTGGCCGCAGTGGAGGCTCAGTGTGGGCTGCGAGCACCCGATCCACGGCCAGCCCGCCCCTGTGACCCCCCTCTCCTTCCCTAGGTCTCAGCCGGACCGTCCTCATGTGTGGGCCCCTCATCAAGGAGGAGACTCACAGGGTCAGTGGGTACGGGGGCGCTATCTGCATGGGGGCCGCCCCCAGGGGTCGGGTGTCAGCCCTGGGAGCCAGCGCCGTGGGGGGATTGGGTGGTCTGAGCGCCATCTCCGAGTGTGCTCCGTGTTCTTCCCAGAGACTGCACGAGCTGGTCCTCCCCCTGGTCATGGGGGTCCAGCAGGGCGAGGCCCTGGGCAGCTCCCCGTATACCAGCTCCCGCTGCCGCCGGGAGCTCTACCGCCTGCTGCTGGCGCTCCTGCTGGCCCCAGCTCCCCGCTGCCCGCCTCCCCTCTCCTGCGCAGTGCAAGCCTTCTCCCTCGGCCAGCGAGAGGACAGCCTCGAGGTAGCTGCCCCTTGGCCCCCCCCATCCCCCCCCGCGTCTGGAGACAGGGGCCTCCCCCTCTGGTGCCTCATGCTCACATCTGCCCTTGGCCTCTTCCTCAGGTGGCGTCTTTCTGCTCAGAAGCTCTGGTGACCTGTGCTGCCCTGACCCACCCCCGGGTCCCTCCCCTGCAGTCCGTGGGCCCTGCCTGCCCTACGCCTGCCCCAGTCCCCCCTCCTGAGGCCCCATCTCCATTCAGGGCGCCCCCCTTCCATCCCCCGGGCCCCATGCCCTCAGTGGGCCCCATGCCCTCAGTGGGCCCCATGCCTTCGGCAGGTGCCATGCCCCCCAACGGGCCCCTTGCCACCAGCGGGCCCCATGCCTCCGACACGCCCTGGACCTCCAGCAGCCAACCACTTAGGCCTCTCCGTCCCAGGCCTGGTGTCTGTACCCCCTCGGCTCCTTCCGGGCCCAGAGAACCATCGGGCAGGCTCCAACGAGGACCCCGTCCTCGCCCCTAGTGGCACTCCTCCGCCCACCATACCCCCAGATGAGACTTTTGGGGGCAGAGTGCCCAGGCCGGCCTTTGTCCACTATGATAAGGAGGAGGCATCCGACGTGGAGATCTCCTTGGAAAGCGACTCTGACGACAGCGTGGTGATCGTCCCCGAGGGGCTGCCGCCCCTGCCGCCCCTGCCCCCCTCGGGCACCACACCCCCGCCCGTGGCTCCAGCCGGCCCGCCGACAGCCTCCCCTCCTGGGCCGGCCAAAGAGGAGCCCAAGGAGCTTCCCGCGGCCCCGGGGCCTCTCCCGCCCCCCCCGCCCCCCCCCTGTGCCGGGCCCCGTGGCGCTGCCACCTCCCCAGCTGGTCCCTGAAGGGACTCCTGGCAGTGGAGGACCCCCCGGCCTGGAGGAAGACCTGACGGTCATTAACATCAACAGCAGCGACGAGGAGGAGGAGGAGGAGGAGGAAGAGGAGGAAGAGGAGGAAGAGGAAGAAGAGGAGGAGGAGGACTTTGAGGAGGAGGAGGAGGACGAGGAGGAGTATTTTGAGGAGGAAGAAGAAGAAGAAGAGGAGTTCGAGGAGGAGTTTGAGGAAGAGGAAGGAGAGTTGGAGGAGGAGGAGGAGGAGGAGGACGAGGAGGAGGAGGAGGAGCTGGAGGAGCTGGAGGAGGTGGAGTTCGGCCCGGCAGGGGCGCCGGCGGAGGAGAGCGGGCCCCCACCGCCGAGCCCGCCCCCGGAGCTGCCCCCCGCCCAGTCCCCGAAGGCACAGCCAGAGCCCGAAGGGGAGCCCGGGCTGCTGCTAGAGGTGGAGGAGCCGGGGGCCGAGGAGGGGCCGGGGGCCGAGGCTGCCCCCACGCTGGTCCCTGAGGTGCTCCCCTCCCAGGGGGAGGGTCCACGGGACGTGAAGAGTCCCCCAGCTGGGCCACCTCCCCAGGAGCTCGTGGAAGAGGAAACCTCTGCTCCCCCGACCCTGCTGGAGGAGGGGACTGAGAGCAGGGGTGACGAGGTGCCAGTCCCCCCTGAGACACCTGCCACGGCAGACGTGGAGGCGGAGGCGGAGACAGAGACGGCCGCCCTCCCCGAGAAGGTAGGAGGGCAGGGGAGGGGGCTCAGCTCTGGGTCTGTCCTTCTGCGTGCCTGTGTGTGTGACTGTTTCCAATCTTAACGTCTTTGTGCCGAAAAGGAGCAGGATGACACGGCCGCCATGTTGGCTGACTTCATCGATTGTCCCCCTGATGACGAGAAGCCACCACTGGCCCCGGAGCCTGATTCCTAGTCCTTTCCTGCCCCCCCCCCCCTGGTTTCCAATAAAGTTTTGTCCTGGGAGATCACCTGCCGCCCGCCTCTTGCACCGCTGCGTTCCCGGCCAGAAGTTCCGCCGCCTGCGGGCTTCCCAAGGTACTCGTAGTGCTCCCTGTGCGTCTGCACAGCGGCCCGTGCTCCCCAGCGGCCCGGCTGCCCCGCGTCATCCCACTGTCCGCCCTTGGTGCTGCCGGCGGTTGAGACCACGAGTAAGGAGCGGGGCTGCTTGTCAGAGCCTAGGGTGGGCGTGTGGGAGGTCAGAGCACTGTGTGTCCCAGAGAGTGAGAGTGTGTAAATACGTGTGCTCCCGTTCCCCCAAAACCCCGGGCTGGAAACCGCGTGACGGGAGGTAGACAGATGTGAAAGGTATGGAGGTGTGAGCCCTGTTCCCGGGCTGGGCCTTCTTGTGACCAGATCCGCGCCCCCCACCCCCGGGGAGCTGTGGCCACGGCCCAGCCAGCAAACATGTCACGTCTCGACCTCTTTGGGGCTCTTGTATGTGTGTGGGAGCAAGACGGGCGTCCGTCTGCTGCGGCGTGAGCACAAGTCGAGGGCCCCGGAGATGCAGACAGGGGAGCTCATCTTCCTGAGTGTGCGTGTCCTGAAGGCCCTCGTTAGGCCGATTTTTGGCAACTTACTCAGGTTTACAAAACCTTTTCCCCAACCTGCTATCTTGAGAAACCCCAAGCCTGTGGAAGGGCTGGAAGAAGAGGGTGGCCATCTCGTAGAGTCCCCGGTCGCGGAGGTTAGTCCGTATTCGTCTCCGTGTAGCTGTGCTGCGTGTGGACCCGCGCGTCCGCACACGCGAACCTCTGCCTGTAGCAGTGTGTTCACGTCTGGACCTACCTTTTTTTCATGGCATCGTGTAAAAGTCTGTTTGCAGACCTGGTCCTTGTCCTCTGAATTCGTCAGTGTTTTTTGCTGAGATTAAGGTCGTTTTTCTAGGTAATCACGATACCACCGTCAAAGCTGTGGTAAGAGCCCAGGAGCAAGGGTGGGTGCCCTGAGACAGGTGCGCGGGTGTGGACAGGGACGTGCCCTCTGGGTCATGTGCTCCTGCGGGGTTGGGTGGCTGTGCGGGGACAGGGATGGGCGTGCAGGGTGGGGCTGAGGGGCTGGTGAGTGCGTGGGACGGGTGCGCGCCCTGAGATGGGTGCACACCCTGGGACGGGTGCGCACACACGCAGGCATGTGCGGCCTTCCCTTCAGCGGTCCTGGGGATGGTGGTGCCTTACCACCAAGGATGGACCCATCTCACGGAGTCGCGATGTGGTTATTCATCAGACACCGAGTACCGGCTGTGTAATAGCTACTGCATTCTCCTTAATCCGTGTTTTAGAAATGCCTCCAGGTCACAGGAGATTCTGGAGGAGCACAGAGGGTGTGGGGGCAGCCCCCCATTTCCTCTCCCAGTTGTCTCTGCGTGGTTAGGGCACAGTGTCGAGACTAGGGTTTGCTGCTGGTACAGTGATGGGCGGTTTCACTGGCAGCAGGCAGGGCAGCGCACAAAATGCAGAAACCCCCCCCCTCCAGCCGGGGCTGAGCTTCCGGACGCTGTGGGGCAGGGCAGAGAGCAGATGGGCGCCGAGAGTGAGCAGGTGCTGGGTTTGCAGCGGGGAGAGGGGAACTGGGGTGCGGGGGCGTGTTTTCAACATTTGATGAGAATTTTCAGACGTCGAAAGTGCAGGATTTACACAGCGCATGGACGTGCCCACCGTGTTCCTGCACCTGGGCACGTGTGTGTGCATACCTGTGTGTGTGTGTACCTGTGTGTGTGCGTGGGTTTTAGGTAGGAGGGTTCGGGGGGTCTCCCCGAGATGGGTGGTGAATGAAGGGCTGGCAGGAGGTGATGCAAGGGTGGTGCAGGGCTGGGAGGGCTCCCAGCGCAGCCAGTAAGACGTCCTGAATCGGGAGCCCTCTCAGGGTGCGGAAGGTGGCCGGTGGGATGGGGAAGGGGGATGGGGTTGGGTAGGTGGCAGGCTGGGAGCAGGAGGGGGTGGCGAGGGGGTGCCGCAGGAGGCATTGGGCAGACCACATATTAGGGGTTTTGTTTGTTTTGTTTTAAAAATATTCTTAATTTAAATTTAGCTTAGTTAACATGGCGTATTATTAGTTTCAGAGGTAGAGGTCCGTGATTCATCAGGTGCGTATAACATCCTTGTTACACGGGCCCCCTCCGTGCCCATCCCCCAGTTACCCAGACCCCCAGCCCCTCCCCTGCGGCAGCCCTCAGTTTGTTTCCTACGCTTAAGAGCCTCTTATGGTTTGTCTCCTCTCTGCTCTCATGTGATTTTATTTTGCCATCCCTTCCCCTGTGATCCTGTTTTGATTCTTAAATTCCACGTGTGAGTGGAATTCCTTCCTTGCGGCAGCGGCGGATGCTCTGGTGCGCACACCGCCTCTGTACCCGCTCACCGGGCAGCGGGCATCTGGCATCTCCACAGTGCGGCTGTTGTGGGCGTTGCTGCTGTGAACATTGGGGGGCAGCTGCCCCTTTGAATCACCGTGTGCGTGTCCGTTGGGTGAGCACCCAGGAGAGCGGGAGCTGGGCATAGGGCAGCTGTTTTCAACTTTCTGAGGACCCTCCATCCTGTTTGCCAGAGCGGCTGCCCCAGCGCGCATCCCCACCAGCCGTGTGTAAAGGTTCCTCTTCCAGCGGGAGTTCTGTTGGCCCCGTGTGACCTCTCTTGGGAGGTGGATGTGAGGGCGGGTCAGGCTGGGGACGCTCAGAGGCCAGGCTGTGGCTACATGGTGTGGGAGTGGCTGGAGCCCAGTCAGGGTGTTCAGGGGGGAGCGGGCAGGTCTGCCGGTGACGCCTTGTGGCTTCTCAGCCTCCTCCCTCTGCCTGCCGTGGCCGGTGCCGGCCTTCACTTCCGCTGTGTGCCCAGCGAGTCTCTGCGCCGCTTCCCTAGCTCTTGGTGCCGCACAGCAAGCAGGCGTGTGTGTACATGTGTACAGATCACGTGTGCACACGGGTATGGATGTGGGGTCCGGCAAGCGTGTACGTGTGTACAGACGTGCGCACGCGAGTGTTGATGTGCGGGACACAGATCTGACTACTATTCTGTTCCCGTGGGATCTACCAAACGGTCCATCTTTTCCTGCTTTGAAGCCCCAGCTTTGCTAGATTTCTGAATTTCTGCACGGGTTTGGGTTTGTTTCCTGATCTCGCGCTCCGTTCCTCTGATCTGCCCGAGCCCGCTTCCTTACTGTGGTTGTGGTCGGTTCCAGGGTCTGGTCACTGGGCTAGGTAATTAGAGCATGTTTGGCTTGACCTTGGGCCAGGTCACCGTTCGGGGCTAGAACGGCTTCACGGTTCAGAACAGGGTCGGGCAGACGAGCCCCTCTGGGTTTCTGGATTGATGCCTGTGGAGATGGGGGAGCGCTTGTTCTCAGCGAGCTTTTCATCAACCCGCCTCCGTGCTCGCGGCCAAGGGAGAGTGCGCTGACCAGACAGCAGGACAGTTGATTAAATTCTCCAGGCAGTTAATGATCCCACGCGGATGGTAGCGATCAGGGCTGTGCTCTGGACCTTGCCGGAGATCCCCGTAAGCAGCTTGGGTCTGTGAATTACCTTTTCACGGGAGCGCCGAGCTGGAAGGCTAGCGTGTGCTTGCCCGGGAACCGTTCAGAGGGATCAGGAGATGGTTGTTTTTGGGTCCCTCTGTGGTTAGTGGACAGGGGGATGTCAGAGGTGGCTGAGGGAGGCAGTGCAGGAGAGCCTGGCTCCTGTGGGTGACTTCAATCCAGGGCTGGAGCGGGGACAGGTGCAGACAGAAGCAGGAGTCACGGGGATGCGCACACGGGTCCTGGAGCCGCGGGAGGCTGTGTCGGGGTTTGGGCTTTGTTTGCTACTGGCTAGTGTTCCTCTAAAGTTGAACCTCACTGAGAGAAGTGACGAGCTCTGTTTCCCATGAGCTTTGGCTCAGAGACGGTTCAGGGAATGTGCGGTGGTGTAGGCTGGGGAAGGTGACTTTGAGCAGGGGCCTGCTGCAGGGACTGGCTGCAGGGACGGGAGCTCAGGCTTCCCCAGCATCTGAGCGCCCTCTGGCGGCTGTGCGGGCCTGGGCTGCTGGGGGGGTCGTGAATGCTTCATTTCGGGGGACCCTTGCTAAAGGCTGGCTGGGCCTCGCCTGGGAGCAGTCCCTGGGTCTGCTTGTCCTCAGGAAACCCCGTGCCTGGCCCAGGCCGTAGCCTCCTGAGGCCAGTGTCCTTCCTGCTGACTGTTCTGTAGAAATGGTGTGGGGTGGGGTGGGCTGGCTGGGAGCTGGGAACTATAGCTAATCCCCAAATGACAGGGCCTGTTGCCAAGGACGGAGTGGTTTTGGGTTATGAAATGCCTAGTGGTTTTGGCCTAGAAGCAGTGTGGCAGGCATTGGGGAAGTAATGCGTTATTTGAGGTGTTTCTCTAAAGGAACCCACGGTCTGGCAGTATTTGAAACCCCGAGCGAGCAGTGTCTCTAGGAGGCCACGCAGCCAGAGGTGTAGGGCCCAGCACGGGGGTGTGGGGTCGAGGAGGGCAGAGAGATTTGGGGGGGCAGGCACCCAGGGACGGAGGTGATGGGAGGGAATGAAGTGGGTGGTGTCCGGAACGTTGATCACACCCACATTTTAGGGGCAAAAGGAGCCTTTAACAGGGAGAGAAGAGACCACAGAAGGGCGGATGGCCCAGAAAGTGAAAGAAGAGCTTCAAACGGTAGGGGGACACCGTGCAGTTGAGAAATGTTCATAGGGTTTGTCTGCCATCAGTGGGTTCAGGGAGAGCCGCCTCACCAGCCTGGTGGGGGCCCCGCTCCCCAGGAGAAGAGGGAGGGAGCAAGCCTCTGCAGGGGGAGGGGAGAGGAGCAGGTGGTGTTGCAAGGGGACCCTGGGTTTGTACTGTCGCCTCTCCACGCGGGGCTGGTGGCCACCCGTCAGCTGCCTCGGCCCTGCTCACGTTCTCAGTGGCTCCCGTCAGTTGGGGATGGGCAGCCCCTTGGCCCCA